TAGTCTCAGATTAAAGATATCAATGCCAGGAGGTTTGTTATTATTGATCGACAACAATAATTTTTCCACCTCTCCCACACTAACTTTACAAAATTCAAACTTGCAATGCTTTTCTTTAATTATTTGTTTTTTTATGCATGAGTACAATGGCTCACTGTTCGTTGTTGGCATTTCCTGCCTAAGTTTGCCCACTTTTCCAATGAAGTAATCATTAAAATAATTGCCAACATCAAATGGTTTTGTGATGAATAAGCCATCTGATTCGATGAAAGATGGTTGAATTTGTCTTTCTGCCCATCATTTCTTTTAAAGTACTTCATAATACAGTTTCTTCTTCTTTTTGTTGAGTTTAGTCACATAATTTCTCAATCTGCCATTCAGATGTGCAGCCAGACTTATTAGCCACTCCTTTTGCCCCATTGCTTTCAACCATACAGTTTTTCAATTCCTCATCAATCCATGGAGCCTTAACAGTTCTAACAGTCAGTTCCTTAACAGGTGCATGTTTATCAATAATTGGAAGAAGCAATTTCATAAATTCATCAACTGCAGCATCTACAGTTGAAGTCGGAAGTTTACATACACCTTAGCCAAATACATTTAAACTCAGTTTTTCACAATTCCTGACATTTAATCCTAGTAAAAATTCCCTGTTTTAGGTCAGTTAGGATCACCACTTTATTTTAAGAATGTGAAATGTCAGAATAATACTAGAGATAATTATTTATTTAAGCTTTTATTTCTTTCATCACATTCCCAGTGGGTCAGAAGTTTACATACACTCATTTAGTATTTGGTAGCATTGCCTGTAAATTGTTTAACTTGGGTCAAACGTTTCGGGTAGCCTTCCACAAGCTTCCCACAACAATTTGGGTGAATTTTGGCCCATTCCTCCTGACAGAGCTGGTGTAACTGAGTCAGGTTTGTAGGCCTCCTTGCTCGCACACGCTTTTTTCAGTTCTGCCCACAAATGTTCTATAGGATTGAGGTCAGGGCTTGATGGCCACTCCAATACCTTGACTTTGTTGTCCTTCAGCCATGTTGCCACAACTTTGGAAGTATGCTTGGGGTCATTGTCCATTTGGAAGACCCATTTGCGACCAAGCTTTAACTTCCTGACTGATGTCTTGAGATGTTGCTTCAATATATCCACATAATTTTCCTTCCTCATGATGCCATCTATTTTGTGAAGTGCACCAGTCCCTCCTGCAGCAAAGCACCCCCACAGCATGATGCTGCCACCCCCGTGCTTCACGGTTGGGATGGTGTTTTCCTCCAAATATAACGATGGTCATTATGGCCAAACTGTTCTATTTTTGTTTCATCAGACCAGAGGACATTTCTCCAAAAAGTACGATCTTTGTTCCCATGTGCAGTTGCAAACCGTAGTCTGACATTTTTATGGCGGTTTTGGAGCAGTGCCTTCTTCCTTGCTGAGCGGCCTTTCAGGTTATGTCGATATAGGACTTGTTTTACTGTGGAAATAGATACTTTTGTACCTGTTTCCTCCAGCATCTTGTACCTGTTTCCTCCACACTTTTCGCACCAAAGTACGTTCATCTCTAGGAGACAGAACGCGTCTCCTTCCTGAGTGGTATGACGGCTGCGTGGTCCCATGAACCAGACTTGTGGAGGTCTACACATTTATTTCTGAGGTCTTGGCTGATTTCTTTTGATTTTCCGATGATGTCAAGCAAAGAGGCACTGAGTTTGAAGGTAGGCCTTGAAATACATCCACAGGTACACCTCCAATTGACTCAAATTATGTCAATTAGCCTATCAGAAGCTTCTAAAGCCATGACATAATTGTCTGGAATTTTCCAAGCTGTTTAAAGGCACAGTCAACTTAGTGTACGTAAACTTCTGACCCACTGGAATTGTGATACAGTGAATTATAAGTGAAATAATCTGTCTGTAAACAATTGTTGGAAAAATTACTTGTGTCATGCACAAAGTAGATGTCCTAACCGACTTGCCAAAACTATAGTTTGTTAACAAGAAATGTGTGTTTGTAAACTTCCGACTTCAACTGTAGATACTCCTTATTAATCACATCAGACCAACAAATATGTTTAACATCATTCACATAAGAGTCACAGCAAAATATTTTGTATGATCTCTTATACACTATTTTAGGCCCAGCTTTTGGAACTTTGGCTTTCCTGGATATAGCCACTATATTGTGATCACTGCATCCAATGGGTATGGATACAGCTTTAGAACAAAGTTCTACAGTATTAGTAAAAATGTGATCGAACAACGTGGATGATCTTGTTCCTGTAGTGTTTGTAAACACCCTGGTACATTGATTAATAACCTGAACAAGATTACAGGCACTGGTTACAGTGAGAAGCTTCCTCTTGAGTGGACAGCTGGATGAAAACCAGTCAATATTCAGGTCCCCAAGAAAGTAGACATCTCTGTTTGCATCACATTCACTATCAAGCATTTCACACATATTATTTAAATACTGACTGTTAGCACTTGGTGGCTCATAGCAACACCCCAAAAGAAAAGGCTTTAGATGTGACAAGTGAACCTGCAACCACAACACTTCAATAACACTTGACATAAGATCTTCTCTAAGCATTACAGGGATATGGCTCTGAATATATACAGCAACACCTCCCCCATAAGCATTTCTGTCTCTTCTATAGATGTTATATCCTTGTATTGGTACTGCTGTGTCATCAAATGAATGATCTAATTGAGTCTCAGAAATTGTTAATATATTAATGTTATCTGATGTTAGCAAGTTATTTCTAAGGCTACATATATTATTATGGGCTATTTCCAGCCCTTTCCTGGGTAGCTTATCAGAGATGGACATAATATAGAAAATGGCAAACAAAGCAAGATAAAAAAATATATGTTCAGCATTAATCAGTTGGTGTGTGTAAGTGTGTGTGTGTGCTGTGGGGTTGAAGGTACGAACCCATAGGCTTGGCTCTCTCATCCCTTCCAAGCTTTTGGGAGGGAGGGTGGACAATGAGCCTGTCATAGTGGGTGTAAGCAATATCCTCACGCGCTCTGGCAGCTTTCATGGCCGGGATAAGTTAATTTCTCTTCCGGCGCACAGCTTCAGGATAATCCTCATTGAGGAAGATATACGTTCCTCTCAAGTTCTTGGCTCTTTCCAGAAGGGCTACCTTGTCCTTGAACATCAGGAACTTCACCACTATTGGCCTGGGCCTGTCTCCTGGGCCGGTGATGGGTTTTCCAATTCTTTGGGCGTGCTCCACCTCAATCTTCCATCTTCAGTTTCTCCGAGATAATTTCCCTCACTTCGTCCTCATACTCCGTCCAGGTCTCATGTGGAAATTCTGCAATTCCGTCCACAACCATGTTGTTCCGCCTTGAATGTCCCTCAAGATATTGTTATCATAGATTCACATATAGAACTGATGTTCTCTCTCAATGACTTACAGATTGCTGTCATCTTGCCGTTCTCCTGTTTAAACTCATAGAAATGACCCTGGGAGAACTGCAAACTGTTCTTCAGGTCCTTGACCTCTCTGGTCAGGTCGTCCTTCCTTTTATTAGTTGACTCCACCAGTATTTGGACAAAACAATTGAAGCTATTTTCTTGTTGTTGTAACAACTGCTTGTAGAACTATTTTTGTTCGTTTTAAAGATCCTTCGCCTGTGATAGATAGACACTACTGTCCTCAACGGTTCTCCCGCCGGCTTTAGTCTTTGTCATGGTAGCAACGTAGGTTACGCTGTTACTCCTCGCAGTTTCAGACAGGGCAGGTCACAGGAAAGATTGAAAACAACAAACAGCAGGGAACTAGACAGCCACAAACCCGGGACAATCTGCGTTCCCAGCCACAATGGCTAACCGCATCGGGGGCTGCATTCAAGCTCCCAAGAAAACCCTGCTAGCTTGATAGGCATCTAGCTAGCAGCTAGGCTAGCTGTTACGTCAAATAGCTCCTCAGACCCGGCCTTGGTCGGCAGGATCACTGAGAGTAGCAGTCCCAGCAACTAATGCCAACCGTGTCGCGAGATCCAAACTCAAAAGGTAGCTAGCTACTAAGAAACGTTTGAATACACTTTCAAAACAGCAAACTTTCCAAAACAACAAACCGAGCTCTCCCTTGTTCCGCGTTCAACAGGAAGTGAATCCCAATGCTCCCATCATTGGAGTGAGTGGTCATTTGACCCTGACTGAACTGATCTAATTCTCTAAGTTAAGTCTCTATAGCACAGAGCTGCAGCCTGCCTGCCTTCCTGACCACTGGCCGCACAGTAAAATACACAGAAGGAGAGGACAGTCCCTTTATCATACCTACACCCTGTCATTAAGTACCACAAAACACACATATATTGTTAGCTATCAGTTAGCTAGTGTTAACTGTTTACTGGCTAGTGTTAGCTATCTGTTGTTAGCTAGGGTTATTTATCAGCTAGTGTTAGCTATTGGTTAGTGTTAGCTATCAGCTAGTGTTAGCTATTGACTAGTGTTAGCTAGTATTGTTAGCTATTGTAGTGTTAGCTATCAGTTAGTTAACTAGTGTTAGGTATTGGTTGGTATAGTGTTAGCAATTGGTGTTCGCTATTGGTTGGCAAGTAGTTTTAGCTATTGTTAGCCAGACTATGGTCTAGCCTATAACGACATTACGACTGTGTGAGTTCTTTTAGAAACAGCCTCCATCCAACTCTTGATTCTCCCAATGTGTTGAGTTGAAGTCACTTCAAGGCCTGCAGGACTCTGATACTTTGTTCATGGCTGAAGAATGCTCCTGTCTCACATGCTGATGAAGCTGTCACGCGGTGTCAGTGTGTGCTGCTGAGCTCTCACTGAATGATTGTGTGTCTGGGAGTGTTGGTCTTTAGTTGGTCTATGTGTGTCTGGTTTGAATGAGCCCTGGTCAAAGGTAGTGCACTACATAGGGAAAAGGGTGCCATTTTGGACACAACCTAAGATGTTTCTTCCTCTGTTGTTGTGCAGGCGTATCTCCATGGCGACGCCCCGGCAGCTCTTCAAGTCGTCCAACATGACCCAGCGCTGGCAAAGGAGGGAGATCTCCAACTTCGAGTACCTCATGTTCCTCAACACCGTCGCAGGTCAGCTTCCGTTCTCCTCCCTTTCCTCCTCTCTCTTTTCCCACTCTCCTGCCCTCTCCTCTTTTCCCAACTCTTCCTTTCTCCCCCTCTTCTACGCTCTCTCCCCCTTATCTTGGATTGATCCATGTTGTTGTGTTGAGCCAATCACCTCTTCTCTCCATACCCAAAATCTCATCATCTATTATTCTACCATGATGAATGTAGTGTATGTTGTTGTTGACTGGCTGTTAAAATATGCCAGCCAGGACCTACAGGTAAGTTGTCTTTGTTTAAGGAGTCGGATGCTTTGTTCAGTGTTCAGTTCACTCCTGAGCAGTAGTACTGTTAGTACTGTAGGTAGCCTACACTCAAGTCATATTCCTCATGTGGAGGAATATGACTGTTATTCGAAGCAAGAAAATAAGGAAAAAGGTGCGTGCGTGCGTGCGTGCGTGCGTGCGTGCGTGCGTGCGTGCGTGCGTGCGCGCTCCTCTTTGTCGCCTCTGATCTGAACTGTGACTAACTGGAAGACGAAAGCGCCTGCTGCACCACTCCTCTCTGAGAAGTGTCACATCCCTCGCTCCCTCACTCGCTGCAGATTCATGCATATTTATATTTATCTGTGGCGTGAGTTCGATACATTATTGTCATCTAATTAGATGTACGGCAGACAGAAAAACATGGTGGAAATTCATAACAAAATGTGTGGTAATGACCTGAGCTGCCAGAAGTGTCAGGGGAGGTGGGGTGGAAGACAGGAGGGGGGTGGAAGGAAGAGGAGGAGGAGAGGGGTGGTGGAGGAGGAGAGGAAGAGAGGGCGAGAGGTGTTAACATGCAGCCAGTGCTCTTCTAATTAAACACTATTCTACTATTATTAACATTCTGACACTTCAGAGTGTGTGTTGTGTGTGTTTCATCCTGACACTTCAGAACAGGCTGGAACTCTACCCACAATGCATCTCCCCCCTACAACCTCACATCCACCTCTTGCCCCTCACCCTGTCTTTCCCTACACCACCACCCTAGAATACCACTGGCACATCTACCCACACCACAATGCCATCCCGATCTCCCCCCTCACCCCTGTCTCCTCCATACACCCTCAAACACAGGACCCCTCTCTCCCTCCTACACCCTCACCCCTGTCTCTTCCATACACCCTCACACACAGGACCCCTCTCTCCCTCCTACACCCTCACCCCTGTCTCCTCCATACACCCTCACACACAGGGCCCCTCTCTCCCTCCTACACCCTCACCCCTGTCTCCTCCATACACCCTCAAACACAGGACCCCTCTCTCCCTCCTACACCCTCACCCCTGTCTCTTCCATACACCCTCACACACAGGACCCCTTCTCTCCCTCCTACACCCTCACCCCTGTCTCCTCCATACACCCTCACACACAGGACCCCTCTCTCCCTCCTACACCCTCACCCCTGTCTCCTCCATACACCCTTACACACAGGACCCCCCTCTCCCTCCTACACCCTCACCCCTGTCTCCTCCATACACCCTCACACACAGGACCCCTCTCTCCCTCCTACACCCTCACCCCTGTCTCTTCCATACACCCTCACACACAGGACCCCTCTCTCCCTCCTACACCCTCACCCCTGTCTCTTCCATACACCCTCACACACAGGACCCCCCTCTCCCTCCTACACCCTCACCCCTGTCTCCTCCATACACCCTCACACACAGGACCCCCCTCTCCCTCCTACACCCTCACCCCTGTCTCCTCCATACACCCTCACACACAGGACCCCCCTCTCCCTCCTACACCCTCACCCCAGAACAGGAACAGGCTACAGCAGTGGTAAATCTACTCACACCGTTATCTCTCCAAGCTAATGTCTAGGCTTAAGCTCAGTGGGCTAATGCAGTCTTTTGACATGAAGGACACTTGGGTACGAACCCAGTCTGTCACAGTAGCTCTGAGAATTAGCTGTGTGCATCACCCCAGGGCATGTGTGTGATTTTATATCTGTAGCATCCATCACACCCTGCTCTTACCCTAACCTACTACCATACTGTATCATCATTTTCTGCATTTACATTTTGGTCATTTAGCAGACGCTCTTATCCAGAGTGACTTAAAATCATTAGGGTTAGATCTGGGTGTTGCCCAGCATCATGTACCATTCACAACACCCAGATCTAACCCTAATGATTGTCTGTACATCACAGCTGAAGCAGAACCACCCTACCATAACATTAAACACTCAGCAGCCGTCTTATTTGCTGTGGGAACTTCTGTGTACTAATCCAGTACATTATCATTTGCATTTTTAACATCCCTATTTGGGTATGACATGTTTCTGTCAGAGGAAGTAAGAGTAGCCCCCAGGGACACAGAGAGCCGAGAGGTTGGGGACAGATCAGAACATTGCAGAGTAGAGCAGGGAAGCTAGAAGGTTGGGAGGTTGATAGGCTATAGGAGGTTGGTAGGTTGGGGACAGAGCATAACATTGCAGAGTAGAGCAGAGAGGCTAGGGGACTGGGAGGTTGGGAGGCTGGGAGGCTAGGGGGCTGGGGGGATGGGAAGCTAGGGGGCTGGGATGATGGGAGGCTAGGTGACTGGGAGGATGGCAGGCTAGGGGGCTGGGAGGCTAGGGGGCTGGGAAGATGGGAGGCTAGGGGGCTTGGAGGATGGGAGGCTAGGGGGCTGGGAGGCTAAGGGGCTGGAAGGTTGGGAGACTAGGGCGCTGGGAGGCTGGGAGGCTAGGGGGCTGGGAGGATGGGAGGCTAGGGGGCTGGGAGGTTGGGGGGCTGGGAGGATGGGAGGCTGGGAGGTTTGGTGCTTGGACGTGTTTCAGGAAGCAGAGTGCTGCTGTGTGACTTATGGCTCTGTAAAGATGAAATAGCTGTAGTGTTTCTCTTTGTTGTAGCCTCAGGTCAGGGCTCATCTTTCACTGAGGTATGCGCGTGTGTGTGTGTGTGTGTTTTGTGTGTGTGTGTGACACCGTAGTGTTGTTAGAAGTGAAGTGTATTGCTGTTTAAACTCTAAACCGTCAGTTTGGAGTGTAGCATGGAAACTTAACCTTCTACAAACCAAACAAAACTCACTTCAAACCAAACACCTCTCACAGTGCTGCACATCATCTCACACCAACTAAGGAAAAGGGTTTTTAATGACTATCTTGCAGTATCTTGGATTTAATTCAAATTGGTGATTTTAATTTTATTTAAATAGTTTTTGTTTATTAAAACGATTCTGTCAGTGCTGATAGTGGTCTCCTGTCCTGTTTGACTGGCTGTTGTGGGTTTGCTGCTAGTGTGTAATACTGCTCAGTTGTTGATATCACACCATCACACCCATAGCTCTGTTCTCTGATTGGACCAGCTCATAATAGTGCATTCTGATTGGACCAACCCATAACATTGTCTTCTGATTGGACCAGCACATAACAGTGCTTACTGATTGGACAGCCCATAGCAGTGTCTTCTGATTGGACCATCCCGTAACAGTGTTTACTGATTGGACCAGCCCATAGCAGTGTCTTCTGATTGGACCAGCCCATAACAGTGCCTTCTGATTGGACCAGTCCATAGCAGTGTGAAATTAGAGAGGACTTGTGGCGACATGGAATGTTGAGGAGCTCCTCATGGTTCTCATGGCTGAGTAAGGGTTCCATCTGAAAACCATCATCCCACTGAAGAGGAAAACTAAGCTCTCACATCTGGCAACCCTCAGTATAGCTGCATGTGGGCACTGCCATGACTGAGGTATCCATGGTAACTGCCACAGGCTGTCCAATCAGGAGGCTAGCCTGGCGGTGTCACATCAGGCGTGCTCAACGACAACACGGTGACCAGGAGAACAGTTATATATCTCTGTAATTACATATATAACACAGAATACATATACACACTACACACACTACATATAGACACTCCATACACACCTCTTTGCTCCTAACCATGGGCGTATTCATTACGGACACCATTTAACATTTATGAAACAAACGGAAGCAAAACCGAGCAAAACAAGAGTTTCTATTGGACAAATTCAGGTAGGTCCCTCCCCGTTTCATTCGGTTTTCTTCCATATAAGAAACGTTTAACCCCAACCCCAGACTGGTCTAATATATTCATCAGGACCAAGCAGAGAAAGGAAGAACACACACACACAATCAATCGTTAATCCCATGTATTTATTAAGCCCTTTTTACATCAGTAGATTCACAAAATGCTTATACAGAAACCTAGCCTAAAACCCCAAAGAGCACAGTGGCTAGGAAAAACTTCCTAGAAAGGCAGGAACCTAGGAAGAAACCTAGAGAGGATCTGAGTTGTGGCCAGTCCTCTTCTGGCTGTGCCGGTGGAGATTATAAGAGTACATGGCCATTAAGGCTAGATTGTTGTTCAAGATGTTCAAATGTTCATAGATGACCAGCAGGGTCAAATAATAATCACAGTGGTTATAGAGGAAGCAACAGGTCAGCACCTCGGGAGTAAATGTCAGTTGGCTTTTCATAGCCGAGCATTCTGAGGTTGAGACAGCAGGTGCGTAGAGAGAGCGAGAGGGAAAGAGGGGGTCGAAACAGTAGGTCTGGGATAAGGTAGCAGGTCCGGTGAACAGGTCAGGGCTCCATAGCCACTGGCAGAACAGCAGAAACTGGATCAGCAGCACGATCAGGTGGACTGGGGACAGGGACAGCCAGGAGTCGCCAGGCCAGGTAGTCCTGAAGCATGGTCCTAGGGCTCAGGTCCTCCGGGAGGGGAGAGAGAGCGTGAGAGAGATATGGGAGAATTAGACAGAGCATACTTAAGATCACACAGTACACCAGATAAGACAGGAGAATTACACCAGATAGGACAGACTGACCCTAGCCCCCCTGCACATAGACTATAGCAGCATAGCTACTGGGGACTGAGACAGGGGGGGTCGGGGGACACTGTGTTCCCCGTCCGACGATACCCCCGGACAGGGCCAACCAGGCAGGATTGAATCCCACCCATTTGCCAAAGCACAGCCCCCACACCACCAGAGGGATATCAACAAACCACCAACTTACTACCCTGAGACAGTGGCATGTATTCATGGATGCCAAGGGAAGCCAGGCTTCCCCAAAACATTGACCAAAATAAATAAATAATAATGTATCTTTCTTCTCTCAGCGTCCCTCTGTCTCTGTATGTGTAGCCCATATATCTGATGCTGTCTGGTCAAAAATAGTATGATATTGTTGCCGCCCATAGCATTGAATGCAAGGGAAGCCAATGAGCATTTGTCCTCCCTTGATATAAAAATTATAATAGCCAATCAGCGTTGAGCTTAGCTGAGTGAGCTCAACTGTGAATGGTCCTGGCGCACCAAATAAAAGTGTCAAGGGAAGCCAGTTTGGATTTAGCTTCACACCAATCACATCACATCAAGCTAAAAGTCATAGACAGAAACAAATGGAATTGTTGCATCTCGATGTGTTGTTGTCCAACTCACAAAATTTGCCCTTTCTTAAATTAGCCAAGGACGGAGATGGGAATTTTGACTTGTGGTTTTACTTAATTCTCCGTACTGGCCAATGATTATAGTGCCGGTTTTGATCCAACCATAAAGTCATACATTGTGCCTCTGGCCTGAGAAGATGGAAGTTGAATATGTAGCTAGATGTAGTAGGCTAATGTTAACTAGCTGGCTAATCGTTGCCCATGAAAGGAAGTTAGGCTAGCGAGCAAGCATTTTAGCCAGGTGGTCTAGGACAACAAAAACTAAAAGTGTGTACTGTATGACAGAGTCATAGACCGTTTCGGCAACATGAAAGAGAGGAGGATGGCATTGGCGTTTTTCTACAAGTAGGGTGAGTCAACATGTTTTTTCTACTTAAACACACACTAAAATCAGTACCATGGACAGCCACATGATATTTAGCTTAGGTTGATTGGACCTTTTAGTTGTCACTGTATTAGCCTAAGCATAGGTGTTTTGATGATGTTGAAATGTAGAAGTTGAAATGGTGCTGAAATAGTGGAGGCAGCTCCTGTTTTCTTTGCGACTTGCGGTAACTTTCCAGTGTTCTAAATCAATAGTTGTTTAGTAGTCCGACAATGTCAGAAACATTAACTTGATTGGCCATGTTGTAGGTCATGTAACTGTTTGTTACATGCAATATGCTTTGTGGACTCCACTGGACAGATGTTGCTCTCTGGTTTTGTGATGAAACAAAGGTGTGGTTGAATATATCACGGTGTCAAGGCATGTGAACTAACAGGTTATAGAGCAAACAACGCAATTATCACAACACATAGGTTGTAATATGGCTTTTTTCCCCTGGCTTGGCTTCCCCAGTGATTTTATCCACGTACCGCTACTTCCCTGAGACAAGGTAGAGTATAGCCCACGAAGATCTCCCCCACCACATGAGCCCGAGGGGGTGCAAGACCGAACAGGAAGATAACGTCAGTGACTCAGCCCACTCAAGTCGAGTATAGCGAAAAAAGCCTGGCACGACGTGAAGCACCCCTCCTAGGGACGGCATGGGAGAGCACTAGCAAGCCAGTGACTCAGCCGCCGTAATAGGGTCAGAGGCAAACACACACACATACACACACACACACAAACTCCCACACTGCTCCCATACTAAGGCCTCCCCACAGAGAGCAGAGTGAGGATTATTTTAGCGGTGGTGTCACCTCCCAGACAGGAAGTTAGTCTGTCAGAAACAGGAAGCTGGAGTCTGATGGAATGCTCTGCTGGAATGTTGCATGCTGGGTCCCCAAAGTAACCTAAGCCTTGTGTGTACCCCGCAGTTCTCCCCTGTACGCCGCAGTTCTCCCCCCTCACACATCCTCCCCCGCCCCACCTCATCCCCTCCTCTTTTCTCTCACAGAACTTCTCTAACAGATCTCTGTCTGTCTGTCTGTAGGGAGGACCTACAACGATCTGAACCAGTACCCTGTGTTTCCCTGGGTTCTCACCAACTATGAGTCCGAGGAGCTGGACCTCACCCTGCCGGGCAACTTCAGAGATCTCTCCAAGGTACTGTCATTCTGTTAAACACCATGTAGGACTGGAGGAGAGGGGGAAGGACAGGAGGGGTGAGGGTCTCAGTCGGCAGGGTAAATTCCATATTAAGGCCCATGCAGGCTGGAAGAGAAAGCCATCTTGACTGGGAAATAATGCAGACATCATAATGCAGACATCATGTGCTCAGTCTGAACCCAGCGGTGGAATGTAGAGAAGGAGCTAATAGTTTAACATCCTAGCACTGGAATAGCTTATAGTTCCAAATGGCACCATATTCCCTATTTAATGCACTACTTTCGACCAGAGCCCCTTATTCCCTATTTAATGCACTATTTTGACCAGGCCCCATAGGGCTCTGTTCAAAAGTAGTGCATTAAATAGGGAATAGGCTGCCATTTGGGACGCAAACATAACATCCTAACAGATCCCAACACTGGAATAGCAGCTCTAAGTGTCTCTGCTCTGTTTGGTACTGTATCGCCTCAGCACATAAACTTAATGTTCTATTGTCTCTGCTCTGTTTGGCGTGGTACTGTCCTAGACTATCAACTGTAGGGGAGTTTTTAGTGTCTGTATGATGAGGGCTTCTGGCCCTGTTTAACTTCCTAGCAGCTCTCTCTCTCTTTATCTCTCTCTCTCTCTCTCTCTGTCTCTCTCTCTCTCTCTCTCTCTCTCTCTCTCTCTCTCTCTCTCTTTCTACAACTCACAGACTCACTGACCTGAAAACAATCGCATTCCTGTCTGAGCTTTCCTTCTCCCTCACTCTGTCGCTCCCTCCTTCCCCCATTCCCTCTCTTCCTCAAAGTGCAGACTCCCTGACTCTCTCTGAGCTCCGTTTTCACAAACGTTTTTTAAAAATCAGATCAGACAAATGTTTGCTAGGGAGGGAAGCAGAGGGACAGGCAGGGAGGGAAGCAGAGGGACAAGCAGGGAGGGAAGCAGAGGGACAGGCAGGGAGAGAAGCAGAGGGATAGGCAGGGAGGGAAGCAGAGGGATAGGCAGGGAGGGAAGCAGAGGGAAAAGCAGGGAGGGAAGCAGAGGGACAGGCAGGGAGGGAAGCAGAGGGACAAGCAGGGAGGGAAGCAGAGGGACAAGCAGGGTGGCAGGTATGCAGGGAGGGAAGGAGGGAAAAGCAGGAAGGGGGGAAGGAGGGTCTGGAAATGAGAGAGGTTGAACTCACGATGAAAACAAGAAATAACCACAATTAAAGCACCCTGGTAGATATGTGAACTAATAATGTCAGTGAATACACTTCCCTCCTAACATATGTCTATAAGGTAGTCTCCTGGTTCATACCAGTTTCACCCAGCCAGTCTATAAAGTCATTGTGTGAATATTTCTACTCAGCACTGTTGGAAATAAAAAAAGACAACATTTGGTTTGAGTTGTTCAGGTAGGTAGTACAGTGGCTGATCCAGTGTTCACTCTGGCAGCAGGTCTACAGTAAGACACACACACATACCTTTCCTGTGTCTTCCTGCTGTCGTTTCTGCTCATGTCACCCTGTGGCGGATTCAGTCTGTACACAGCCAGGTGGGCCGTGTGTGTGTGTGTGCGAGAGAGAGAGAGCCCGAGCCCTCTGGCCTGGGGAGACAGTTATGTATTGTAATGTATTTCAGTGACATCCTCCCATGCTGTTTACAGGCTGAGCTGCCTTCATTACCTTGAGTTCACAGGCCTCTGTCTCCTGACGGTTGTCCTTGGAACCCTAGGGCTCTCACACACACACACACACACACACCTCCAACCCCAGGGCTCCTACTTCCAGAGGTACCAGCTAGCGAAGGACTGAACTGGAATGAAGGGGCTTGAGTTCTCAAACATATAAACAGATTAGACAAAGAGCAGGGGAGAGAGGAAATAGGGAGGAACTCAGAGAGAGAGAGTGAGAGAGACTGTAAGTCTTCTGAACAGAGTCATGTAAAACCACCAAACAGTTTGTGCGTCCCAAATGGCACCCTATTTCCTTTATAGTGCTCTACTTTTGACCAAGCCCTATAGGTAGTGCAGTATGTAGGGAATACGGTTCCATTTGGGAAGCAGCCATCCAGTGATATTTTGTCCTCTGACTGAGCTGCTCACGCCATGGGGTCACGTGACTACCAATCAGGAAGTGGGTGCCAGTACCAGCAGGCTAAATGTCCTAAAGCTCCTGGATGATACGCCACTTAATCCTCTCACACACCTGCTTTAACGCGCTACACACACCTACACACACCTGCAATTTACCTGCTGATCAGCCAGCCAGTCATCCATGTTAAATCCAACTGAACAGAGTGTTCTCTGCCTCAGGGCCACAGTGGAGCATTCCTACTGTCAGATCACAGGCCTGTTGAGCACACAGACACACACACACATACACAACCATACACACACACCCTCCATGTCAGCAGTACAGTGGTGTGGTGGAGCGGTTCATTAGGTTTTAATGATTATTTCCTGCTGACTGACAGGTGGCTGATGGGAAAGGGAAGCTCATCTCCTCATAGCTGTTAGTTGATGGAGTGGAAACACTGATAATCCTATATGAAGGCATACTGAGCGTGCTCTGCTTAACAATCTAGAGGTTTATCACGGCTGTTGTTCTACCTGCTTTTGTGTGTCTCTGATAGGAGGTGATGTGATGTGACTCTGTCAAAACTTCTCTCAGGGAGAAACAGCCAAAGCTGTGAAATGACAGCAGACATATGTACCCGATCTACTTTACCTCATAGGTACTGTTATGAAACGGAGAGTGAGTGGAATTTGTTCATGCTGGTCTTCGGACCCGCAACCTTATGAACCAGAGCCCTTCACGTTTTTGATGGCTCCAAGGAAGCTAGCTCCCTTGGAAGAGTCGATATATTTACATTTTAGTTATTTAGCGGATACTCTTATCTGAGTGAAAATGCATTTTCAGACTTTTTTGTACTGGTCCCCCGTGGGAATCGTACCCACAACTCTGGCATTGCAAGCGCCATGCTCTACCAACTGAGCCACACGGGACTATAATGTGCACATATGTGTGCATATATATATATATGATATATGTGTTTATGAACGCAGGGTTGCTACTCTATACTACTCCCTCCTTTCACTTGCGTTCGCAGGGTCGCGACACTACTATGCTGTGTTTACCATTGTGACGTTACATTCATTTGCCTTCTCTGCTTAGTAGCAAATCCTATTCATGTTTTTAAAAGAGTTAACAAAAGTTTTAGCTGAAAAGTGTATTGTTTATGTCATAGCGAAGGTTAGCAATGTAGCTAGCTAGCTAGCTGCGCAGCCAAACTCTCATTGACAACTCTGGAGATTTAGTGGTGCTAGTTAGTGATGGGTCATGCGCACAAGCATCGGCTCTGAGAGCCGGCTCTTTGTAGTGAATCAGAAGAGCCGGCTCGCATCGAGTGAGAGCCGGCTCCCAGTTTTTTGCCCATTCGCTGCTTAGGTTTCACTTTCACAGAGGTCTGTTATGATTGGCCAGCATGGCGACCAGCATGCGGCATTCACGTGAGAATTAAGGATGTGTAAACAGAGAGGGGGCGGGGCAGACACACCACTTGACTCCACTGCAAGTGAAGAGAGAGACAGAGCGGACTGAGGAGCGTGTGTGCGTCTTGCATTGTCGTGTCGTTTAACTATGAGTGACACTAGAAAGCGAAGCAGCATCTGGCTGCAGTTTAAAGATATTGGGAACAAGAAAGCAGAGTGCCTTCACTGCAAAACGAAGGTCACTATAAGAGCAGGTTCCACCACAAACCTGCATAGACATACAAGAACTGTCCATCCTACAGTGCAGTTAGAGGAGAGAGGGCAAGCCAGCTCACCATCTACTGATCCTGGTGTGTCTCATACCAGAACAACAGCTGCTGTAACGTCTACTGCCATCCCCATGCGTGCAAGTATAACCTCTCCTACTGCAACTCAAAGCAAAATAAGTCAGTTTTTACCTAAACTGATGACCCCAGCCAAACAGCACAGTATTGATGATGAGTTGGCTAAAATGGTAGCTTCTGATTTTCAACCCTTTTCCATTGTGGAGGACAAAGGAATGAAAAACTTTGTCAAAGCCCTAAATCCCACATACACTCTACCCAGTAGAAAAACACTTTCCCAAACAATGATCCCAAAACTATATGACACAGAACGTGCATTATGGCAAGAAAGGGTGACAAAAGCTCCATCAGTTTGCCTGACAACTGACTGCTGGACCTCCAGAACAACCTGCTCTTTCATGTCTGTCACTTGCCACTTTATTGAAGATTACAAGATGACATCTTGCCTTCTGGACTGCTTCGAGTTCACCGACAGACACACTGCAGAAAACTTGGCAGTGGAGCTACTAAGAGTGGCAAAAGAGTGGCAAGTAGAGGACAAAGTGGTGTGCTGTGTGAGTGATAATGCTGCAAACATCACCAAAGCCATAAAAGTTTTGAAGTGGACCCATCACCCATGTCTGGCGCATACACTAAACCTGGTGGTTAGAGATGCTCTGAAGGTGATCAAAACAACCGTGGATAAGGTGAAGGCTGTTGTGGAGTTTTTCCACAAAAGCACAGTAGCAGCACAGAAGCTAAAGTCCACACAGCGCCAAATGGGGATTCCTGAACTGAGGCCCAAACAAGAGTGTGCCACCAGGTGGAACTCAACATTTGATATGTTGAAACGAATGCTTGAAATAAAAGATGCCATCATCTCCACCCTGGCCCTCATCAACGCATCTATTGAGCCATTAAGCCAAGAGGAATGGGAGCTGGTGAAAGAGGTCTGCGCCGTCCTGCAACCATTCCAGGAGGTGACTGTGGAGATAAGTGCAGACAGGTACCTAGAACCATTGAAGCATTGTTTTCTCTACTACTATTCAGTCACTATTATACATTGCAAACACAACACATACAGTATAATGCATCACGTATAATATGCCACATACTTTTAAAAAACTAAATTCTAAAAGTTGCTGTTTTCTCTCCTTCAGCTATGTCACAGCCTCGAAAATGCTCCTGCTTTGCAAAGGTCTGCAGCTGGTGACAGCCGAGAACCAATGGACAGTAACTGTGCAGAAAGTGAAGGAATTAGTTGCAGCTCTTTGTTCAGCCATGGACCGCAAATTTCTGCGGATGGAGTACAACACTGTCCTTTCAGAAACTACCTTATTGGATCCAAGGTTTAAAAAACTTGCCTTCAGTGATCGTAGAGCTGTTGATGAAGCTCTTCAGAGGATTAGTGCAGCAGCAGCAGCAAAATGCACCCCCAGCAGCCAGCCAGCTCCACCATTACAGGGCCAAGTGGAGGAGGAGCAGCAAACCTCTGCTGTTTGGAGGCTTTTTGATGACAGAGCTACAGGAGATGCTTCAAGGAGAAATCCGACAGCTGATGCTATAATGGAGGTGAGGAGCTACCTTGAGGAGCCCCTCATCCAGAGAGCAGAAGACCCACTGAGCTGGTGGCAGGCCAAGGCCTCAGTCTTTCCACTCCTGGTGAAGGTGATGGAGGGGAGACTATGTATTGTTGCCACATCAGTTCCTTCTGAGAGAATCTTCTCCAAAACAGGGCAGATACTCACGGAGAGGCGAAATCGTATCAGGCCTATCAGCCCATCCAAGCTGAGGCATCTGATCTTCCTGAATGCCAACCTGCCCTGAGGACTAATGCTGTTTGCTGGAGTTTGGTTCTGGTTTTGATTCTGTTCTGTGGATTTGTTTGAAGTTTATTGTTAATTTGTGCAATAAAAAAGTTTAATTGAAATAAACAAATGTAAGAGTGGTTTTGTCACAGAATAAATGCACAGAATTAGGCATTATAAGGTCTCTCATAAAAACACTGAAAGCAAAAGGGTTTTCAACACATAAACCATGATTTTTTTTCAAAGTTAAGGTAAAATATAGGCTACAAAAGATCCTAAATAAAGAGCCGTTCGGGAGTCGAAAGAGCCGGCTCTTCTTTGGGAGCCGAGTCAAAAGAGCCGGCTCTCAGAAAAGAGCCGAACTTCCCATCATTAGTGCTAGTCGTGCATATCACCCTTTACTGTGTCAATGTTTTATAGACTGCTACCGAACTTCAGAAAACCTATACCATGAGAGAAACCACTCATACGGAGAACTCTGAAGAACTAGATTGTAGCTGTTCAAGGTGTTTCTTCTGACAAGCCCAGAGAAAAAACAAGTGTGACTCTTCCTGCACTGTACCATGATGTCATTTCCTTTGAAATATAAAATTCAGTATGTGTGTCTCCTCGGGAGTTAGCCTAGATATTACCACACGAACCGCATAACTTTCTCTTTCTCTGTGTTTCACACACTCGGATGCACACACACACACACACACATGTACAAACACACAAACACACACACACGCTCCTCTTGGATCCTCCACTTTGGGGTCTCTACTCTCTGCAGTCAGAGAATGATCCTAATTACATATGGTGAGTGGTTTATCTAGTGTAGCATGTGACAGCCCTATAATCCAGCAGCTAGGTTTGATCATGTCTTGTTTGGTGGTGCAGGAAGGTATCACTCGGTCAGGTGTTATTTATGGGAGTGAACTCAGAAAGAGCTAAATGCAGAGCTGTCTAAAGCACTTGTTTTTATTGTTTCCTTATCATGTCCTGTATTTACATAATCACCTGAGAATAGGTAGCTGGTGATTACTTTGTGTTAAAGGAACGGTAGAGGAAAAGGTTTGTTGTCACTATTCTACCCAACTAACCAGCCACGGAAGGGGTTCCCATATGGCACCATATTCCCTATATACTGTAGTGCACAACTTTTGACCAGGGCCTTATATCCCCATCTCCCACCCAATATCTATTTTAGCACATTAGCTTGCTAACATTAGTATCCAACATTAGCATCGATGGTTCCATCAATTAACCTTAAGTAACTTAGTTGCTAGTAGAATCAACACACTTAACATTCCTGGTTGCTTTAAAGTCAATGAAATACCACGTTGTAGCAAAGTTAGCTAGGTAGCTAGCTGTCGCACATCAACAACAGAGAAGGTCAGAGTATAGCCAGAAATGGATGTTGTTTTGTTTGCGTGAACTAGCCAAATGTTTTTGTTACCCAAATGGACCCTGGTCAAAAGTAGCATATTATATAGGGAATAGGGTGCCAGTGCTGCATGCATGTGAAAGACTTAGAGCTTTAGAAGGTCCTTATGTCCACTTAAGACCCAACACTATCTACCATGTTAACAGCTTTTTAATATCTTACTAATGAGCTAGTTTAGCAGGCTAAAGCCGCAATATATTTTTATAGGCTAAGAGCTGTCTGTGAGGGTGGACAAGACACACCATAACCAACGTTAGCCGTGCGCAGTAGATCACCTTCTGTGTGTGTCGACGAATGGTGACAATTCAACATGTAGAATAGTCTAGAAATGAACAGAAAGTGCCAGCCGATGTTCTGTGGTCAGAGGCGATATGACTTCTATCTGCTGCTTTTAACTGTTTGTCGGTGTGGTTTTGTCCTTAAGATAGGACATCCATCCTGCTGCTGGGTTTAGTGGAAATATTCATATTGACAGTCTCTCTGTATTTGGGGTTCTTGGCTAGCTATGAGATCACGTTAGCTGTGAGACCATGTTTGCTATGAGACCATGTTAGCTATGTATATTTACATTACATTTAACATTTTAGTCATTTAGCAGACGCTCTTATCCAGATGATATCCACATGAATATTATTATTATTATTATTTTAATTTTTTCATACTGGCCCCCCGTGGGAATCGAACCCACAACCTTGGCGTTGTAAATGCCATGCTCTACCAACTGAGCTACATCCCTGCCAGCCATTCCCTCCCCTACCCTGGACGATGCTGGGCCAATTGTTATCCATGAGACCACCTTAGCTGTGAGACCATGTTAGCTATGAGACCATGTTAGCTGTGAGACCATCTTAGCTATAAGACCACGTTAGCTGTGAAACCATGTTAGCTGTGAGACCATGTTAGCTATGAGACCATGTTAGCTGTGAAACCATGTTAGCTATGAGACCATGTTAGCTTTGAGGCCATGTTAGCTGTGAGACATGTTAGTTGGTTGTCAGACCCAGGTTGACACCCATTCTGTCCTATTAGCTGTATGTGCTGTCCAGCTGCAGCTATGATTGGGCTAAGCTGACTGAGACCAGCCTGGTTACTCCTGGACGTTTAACAGCCTGTCTGACTTCCTGTAGCCCACAGCCCAATCACAGCCAGCCCCAGACATCACATGACAGCCTATTATCACCCCGTAAATCTCAGCAGATCTCAATAAACTTCTCTTTCATTCTATCTCATCGCGCTAACATCGATGTGGACGGTCATTACGTTGGAGAGAAAAGAAAGGAACGTAAAAGGAAACCAGACGTGACCAGTTGGTTTAGAGTGAGAGAGTTGAGCGCTAGTCAAACATTCCTAATAATGCCATGTGTTCTGAGCCACATAGAGGGCGATATGGGCTGTGGGAACATAATGAAGATGACGAGACAGTCTGGCTGTATCTCATATGGAAGCCTATGCACTATATATCGAGGGCCCTCTGGTTAAAACTAGTGCACTATATAGGGAATAGAATGTCATTTGGTAAGCAGCTTTTTGTGTTGTAACACTCTCATAACTCTAGCCATGGGAATACTGGAGTAACGGCACAGTCTTAATGATTTGATATTAAAGTGATTTTATTTTTAGTCGTTGGTCTCTCCACTAGCTGCAGCTCTGTCTGAATCAAGGGCTTTGTTGCGGTAGATTTCCCATGATTCCTGTGGTCAATCCGAGACATGGCCGCCACACACACACACACACCCTCCCCCCCTGACTCAATAGCACTGAGTGTATTAATATTGACTGCCAATATACCTCCAAAGCCTGCCTGTTGGCCAGGGTGATTGAAAAGGCAGAGAAAGCAATTTATCCTCCAGTAAATTTATTTTAATGGGCTAATTAGATTGTCTTAAAAACATATGAGAAAGCAAAGGCTTGGGACCCAGAGTGAGTCTCAGTGTCATAATATTGGCGTAGGGCCCGTCCCAAATGGCATCCTATTACCCACATAGTGCAGTACTATTGAACAGAGCCCTTTGGGCCATGGTCAAATGTAGTGCACTATATTGGGAATGGGTTGCTATTTGGGACCCAGAATGAGTCTCTGCGTAATACACAGAGGCTGGGACCCAGAGTGTAATATTGACTTGGCCTCTGTTCCTGAGTTATGGTGGAAGAATGAAACACGCTATCAAAGGCCAACATTTGGGTTGTAAAGTCATATATTTCTTGTTTTATCCATTGACTAGCTACGTAATTACTGTAATATCAATAGCAGGCCTTACTAAACTCCTGGAGGGCTATGGCCTTTTATTTTTTTTCAATGACGGCGGGCCACATTTAAATTGTCTCATTTGGCCTGGGGGCCGTGTGTTTGACAACCCTTATCTAGGAGCTGTCTCTCTGCTAAGTCTAAAAGGTCAGTTATATACTGAACATCATATACTCTATCTACTGTATGTAACTTCTGTTTGTCCCTCAGCCAATCGGAGCGTTGAACCCGAAGCGTGCAGCGTTCTATGCAGAGCGCTACGAGACGTGGGAAGAGGACCAGACCCCCCCGTATCACTACAACACCCACTACTCCACCGCTAAGTCCACCCTGCTCTGGCTGCTCAGGATAGTATGTACTCTATACCCCATCCACCCAATACCCTATTCCCTGTACCCTATACCCAGCAAAGGGGTGGTTGATAAAACATATATAGGTCCATCATCATTTCTACATACTTTCTATCTGATTGTAGACGTTCAAGTGTAGACAGACACTTTTTTTTATTTTTTTTATCCAAAATAACATTTTCTTAATGGCAGCTAGAACAGTAAATTAGTTAAATAGTGAGTCACACAGTCCACACAGTTGAAAGCACATTGATACCACCTAGTGTTTAATAAATACCAGCGGAATCTAAATTGTGAGATATAGGGTTACCCCTCCTGGGGTTTGGCCAGATCTGATATGTTAGGCAGCTCGTTAATTGGAGAAAGCTTGATGGGGAGTTAGTAGCACTTTGCCTGCCACTCTCTGCCTCCTCTCCCCCTCGTTAGCAGAGGGGCTGTTGAATTAGAAGAGTTCCTCTGACAGCACTTACACCGCTCCTCACTACACACACCGCTCCTCTCCTCCATCTCTCCTCCTCTCCTCACTACACACACCGCTCCTCTCCTCCATCTCTCCTCCTCTCCTCCCTACATCCATCCATCAGAACACTGTCTCAATCTCAGACTGGGAACACCACATACAGCATCAGCCAATTAGCACCGTCCGCTCCCGGCGACCAGGAAGCACAGTAATTAATACTCCCTAAGGCATTGTGGGTAATGTACAGAAGGGGAGGACAGACAGACAGACAGACAGACAGATAGTCTGGCACAGGAACATCACATACACAGAAACACACCATAGATGCGGTAAAGAGGTCAATGGAACTCAACCCAAACAATGGAAATGCCATGGATGCGGTGGGAGAAAGATCACAAATCTCCTCATTGCCCCCCAGCAAAATGATCCTTAATTTAGGCTATTGATTATATGTGTATTGTGTACTTCTAAATGTTATGCAGTGAAAACAAAATCTGACTTTAGTAATCACATTGTGGGCCTGTTACAATACATCAATCATGACGGATTTGACGAATATCCACTTTGTTAGAACAGATTTGTTGAATGTGTACCAATTCGGTGTCCTTCTTCTATCCCCCACTGTCTGATTTCTATTGACCTCTTTACCGCAACTATGATTCCAATAAGAGACATTCTCATTGTCCCTTCTCTCTGTTACAACCAGTAGAATTCAGCCATTAGCTCCCCTTAGGGGACAAGAAATGATTCATTCTGAACACACAATAGAAAATCTAGTTCACTGAAAGTATTGTTTGGTATGGTGGTGTTATCTGTGTTGTGATGTTTGTGTTTGTTTGTGTGTGTCCATGAAACATCCTTTGCTCAACGTAAAATGTGTGTGTGTTTTCTCTTGCAGGAGCCTTTCACCACGTTCTTCCTGAATGCTAACAACAACAAGTTTGACCATGCAGACCGGACCTTCTCAGCCATCACCCGCTCCTGGAGGCACTGCCAGAGAGACACCTCAGATGTCAAGGTGTGTGTCTTTCTGTCGGTGTGTGTAGGTGTGTGCGTGCGTGCGCGTCCATGAAACAAACTCTGCTCAATGTAAAATACTCTGTATCTGTATCTACAGTGGGTCTGATGCGTTCTCTGTTCATCGGTATTCAACCCAGAAGGAAACGTCACAATAAAATATATACCATGAATTATAAATAACACTATGCTCAAACTGTGAGGAACAGAGACATGGTACACAGTGAATAACTAAAGCACTTACAAACACATACTTGATTTACCTCTAATATATATTTAAAAACAAAGGAGTGCTGTACTGTATGTGAACAAAGGCTGAAGACAAAGAAAGAAAGAAATCCTCTCCTTCCTTCCTCAGAGATGGAGGAGCATTCAGAGTGTGTGTCCCAAATGGCTCCCTATGGGGCCTTGGTCAAAAGTAGTGCACTATATAGAGAATAGGGTGCCATTTGGGACGCAGACAGTGAAACGCTGAACCACCACCACTCAGCGGGAGCAGCTCTGACCTCAAAGTGTCAGATATTTCTAGAACACCCCGCATCGGGTTAGTGTTGCCCCAGGCAATTAATAAAGCATTAATGACAAAAGCTATTTAAAATGTAGTGTTTTATGTCCGGACAGGGCTTTTCCTGGGCTCAGCTTGGGGAGGAGGGGGAGAGAGCAGCACACCAGCTAACATGCCCTGTTAACAAATACATGCTACTTTAAACTACTTGTATGTCTGTCTGTCTGTTGAAACACACGGAACATGGCTGCTGGTCTATCAGCACGAAGGAGAGAGCGAGAGAGACAAGATATTACAACAGCAGCTGTGTTTCATTATGTATTAGTAACAGGAATTATTCTGCTAAATTATTTCACCTACACACACAGTTCTACCTACACACACACAGTTCTACCTACACACACACAGTTTTACCTACACACACACAGTTCTACCTACACACTCACAGTTCTACCTACATAGACACAGTTCTACCTACACACACACAGTTCTACCTACATACACACAGTTCTACCATACACACAGTTCTACCTACACACACACAGTTCTACCTACACACACACAGTTCTACCTACATACACACAGTTCTACCTACACACACACAGTTCTACCTACATACACACAGTTCTACCTACACACACACAGTTCTACCTACACACACACAGTTCTACCTACACACACACAGTTCTACCTACACACACACAGTTCTACCTACACACACACAGTTCTACCTACACACACACAGTTCTACCTACACACACACAGTTCTACCTACACACACACAGTTCTACCTACATACAGTGCATTTGGAAAGTATTCAGACCCCTTGACTTTCTACATTTTGTTATGTTACAGCCTTATTCTAAAATGAATTAAATTATAGTTTTTCCTCATCAATCTACACACAATACCACATATTGACTAAGCGAAAACTTTTTTGGGGGAATTTTTTTCAAATGTATTAAAAATAAAAAACAGATACCTTATTTACATAAGTATTCAGACCCTGAGCTCAGGTGCATCCTGTTTCCATTGATCATCCTTGAGATGTTTCTACAACTTGATTGAGTCCACCTGTGGTAAATTCAATTGATTGGACATGATTTGGAAAGGCACACACCTGTCTATATAAGGTCCCACAGTTGACAGTGCATGTCAGAACAAAAAGCAAGCCATGAGGTCGAAGGAATTGCCCGTAGAGCTCCGAGACAGGGTTGTGTTGAGGCACAGATCTAGGGAAGGGTAACAAAACATTTCTGCAGCATTGAAGGTCCCCAAGAACCCAGTGGCCTCCATCATTCTTAAATGAAAGACGTTTGGAACCACCAATACTCTTCCTAGAGCTGGCCACCCAGCCAAACTGAGCAAGCGGGTGAGAAGGGCCTTGGTCAGTGACCAAGAACCCGATGGTCACTCTGACAGAGCTCCAGAGTTCCTCTGTGGGGATGGGAGAACCTTCCAGAAGGACAACCATCTCTGCAGCACGCCACCAATCAGGCCTTTACGGTAGAGTGGCCAGACGAAAGCCACTACTCAGTAACAGGCACATGACAGCCCGCTTGGAGTTTGCCAAAAGGCACCTAAAGGACTCAGACCATGAGAAAAAATATTCTCTGGTCTGATGAAACCAAGATTTGACCTGAATGCCAAACGTCACGTCTGGAGGAAACCTGGCACCATCCCTAAGGTGAAGCATGTTGGTGGCAGCATCATGCTGTGGGGATGTTTTTCAGCGGCAGGGACTGGGAGACTATCTAATATAGCTAATGCTATGGAGGCTGTTTGCTATCTATGGAGGCTGTTTGCTATCTATGGAGCCTGTTATCTATCTATTGAGGCTGTTAGCTATCTATGGAGCCTGTTAGTTATCTATGGAGGCTGTTAGCGATCTATGGAGGCTGTTAGCGATCCATGGAGCCTGTTAGCTATCTATGGACACTGTTAGCTAACAGGCTCCATAGATAGTTATCTATGGAGCCTGTTAGCTATCTATGGAGGCTGTGTGATTGACTTGTTCAGCCCATTAACAGGCTGTGGCTGTATAAATGGCTGCCAGGGGAGCTGGGCTCGAAAATGGAGCTGGCATCTTTAACGGCTTGGTGCTGAGTTTTGACAGGGAAGTTTAGACAGACAGACAGACAGACACAGAGAGAGAGAGAGAGAGAGAGAGGTAAAGAGATAAAGAGAGAGAGAGAGAGAGAGTCAGTCAGTCAGTCAGTCCAGTGTTGTGCTCAGTCAGACGGTGAAATGTGACCAACAGCAGACTCCAGTGTTTTATTGGGGTGTTTCCTGTCATGCTACCTTCCTCTCTAAACCCTGATTTACCGTCCTAAAGCCCTGCCTGTTACCCTCCTGTAGTTATCCTCCCATAGGCAACAGGCCTGGTCAAACTCCCATAGGCCTGGTAAAAACCAAAAGCATCACAGAACATGACAAACACTGCTTTCATAAAACACCCCTCATACTACCACTGAACAAGCTAGGAGGCCAAGCACATTTTAGACACACAGACACAGTCGCTGACAAACACCAAGTCACTGACCCGCACACACACACGTACGCACACACACACGTACACACCTGACACACACACAAACACATGCACCTCCTGACACACACAGGCCTAGACAGACAGCGTTTAAATGGTTTTAAATGGTTTTCTAATGAGGGCTCTGACAGAGGGAGGAGGGAGGCACCACATTCCTGTTGTGCACATGGTCCAATATACAGAGGCATCTGTCAGAGAAAGAGGAGAGGGGAGGAGGCACTGCAGCTGAAATGAATGAGTAGCCAAGTGTATTGATAGGCCTGCATTTATATTATTAGCGGCTTGTCTATTTTAATGTAGAGGAATATTTAACTTTCTCTGGTCATAGGAACAACAACATGAATTTGTGCATGAGGCAGAAATAATGCAGACTTCTTGAGTTTCGCCATCAGGTGGAAGAGTGTCCCCTCTCTCTGCCCAGCCTCCCTCCGTTGAGACTGACCATCAGTTGCAGGTATCATTAGTCTGGTAAAATAAAAAAGCAAATTATTTAAATGTATGCTCAGCTGTGCCTCGCAAGGAATGTAACACCTGATCTGTTTTTTTATTTAGCATGAGTTTTGAAATATAATATAGTCTGAGAAGAACAATACTGGCAGGCCAATATGATGTGATAATGGATTAGGCCTACTGCACAAACCTCATCCTTACAGAAGTGTTTTTATAAGACATAGCCTTACATTTTTTAAGTCATGTTTTTAAAAAATATAAGAGCGGTAGATCTTGGCTTGCATTTTGACTCAGAAAGTGATCTTGACTCAGAAAAGGTTGGTGACCACTGGGCTAAAGGGTGTCTCCAGGGTCAGCTAGTTGTTTATTCTCTCTGAAGTGGGAATCACACCAGGGAGGATCATGGGAGTGTGTTTCTTCCTCTCTGTACCGAGGTCCTGACCCCATCACCACAGCCCTGCACTGACACACACACACACCACTGAAATAACTGTTACAGCACCTCTCAACACCCATTGCCTGCTGTTTATTTGGCTTGTATTACCTTTCCCCCTGAAGTCACACACACGTACACAGTCCATTTACTCTCCTTACATCTCCCCTCCCCTTCTCCCCTTGTTGAGCCCAGTTCTACCACCAGCCATGTGTAATAACATGTGTAATAATGTGGTATAATAACGTGTATGATGGCCTACAAATAACATGTGTAATAATGTGGTATAATAACATGTGTATGATGGCCTATAAATAACATGTGTATAATAATGTGGTAATGCCTGTCTCCAACAGGAGTTGATTCCAGAGTTCTACTACCTGCCAGAGATGTTTGGTAACAGTAATGGTTACCACCTGGGTCAGAGGGAGGACGGCAGCATGGTGTGTGATGTGGAGCTGCCTCCCTGGGCCAACAAGCCTGAGGACTTTGTTAGGATCAACCGGATGGTGAGGAACTAAACACCTCTCCTCCTCTCCTTATCTCCCACCCTCTGCTCTCTTCCTCTACCTAACCCACTCCTCCCACCCTCTCCTCCTCTCCTCTCCTGCTTTGTCACCCTTGTCTCCTCCTCCGTCCTCTCATTTTGTACCACCCTCTCCTTTCCTCTTCAATCATCCCCTCCTCCTTTCCTGCCCCCCACATCTCTCCTCCTTCTCATCTCCTCCTCCCTCTTCCCTCTCCCCCTCTCCTCCCCCTCACTCTGTGTGTCTGTGTGAGTTACTCATGCAGCGTCTGATAAAGTGCACTGCTCGATACTAACACAATCTGCAGCTGACCCCAGTGATGTCACTAAAGGACGGGCCAGTAAGTGTCCCCTATAATGTTACCTAATGCCGGACTCATCAATCATCATTTAGCTGTGCGTGCGTGTGTGTGTGGCTGTGTGCTGTGTGTGTGTGTGTGTTAGCCCAGGACAACCTAGTACTCCCTGCAGGCCCTTTGAGCAACACACACACACACACACAGAGAGAGACAGAACGTGAGCGCCCTCTACACCCTCTGCCAGCCTCTCAACCAGTCCTGCCTGGAGGCACACAGTCTTTCACTTCTCATCACAATTCAAACCCACACATACAAACACACGCACGCACACACACACACACACACACACACACACACACACACACACACACTCACAATCACACACCATTACATCCCTGTACACATACTGCAGTGTGCAAGTAGATCCTCATGCCTATACACACCAAGACATGGTTATAGATATGACATTATGGGGGGGGTTTACATTTCTACAATGTTATTAGGGGGGGGGGGTATTGGGGTAGGAACACACTTGACCTTTTCAGCAGGAATGACAGAGCTGGGGGGAAGGAGGCAAGGGTGGTGGTGGGGAGGAGTGGTGGTGGTTAGTGGGGAGCAGAGGTGACCTTTCACTAAGCTCAGCTCTACTCTACTCCCCTCCTCTCTCCCTCTGCTCTCCACCTCTCCTCTACTGCCTGGTCAGCTACATCTACATCAGCCCAGCACACAGGGAGGAGGAGGGAGGTGGAGGGGGGGACACACAGGAGGAGGGAGGTGGATGGGCAGACCGGGGGGGCAAAGTGTTCTTATCCTCTTATGTTGTAGACATTAGTATACATGCGGAATCCATGGATGGATAGCTAGAGAATCATCATCTTTACTCTCCATCTCTGTCCTCAGTCATCCTGCTCTCAGATCTCATTATAGCGTTCTTCATTTTCTGCTTACCTCTTACTTTACCTTTTATTTTCTTTTTCTCTCTCTCTCTCTCTCTCTCTCTCTCTCTCTCTCTCTCTCTCTCTCTCTCTCTCTCTCTCTCTCTCTCTCTCTCTCCGTCCCACCCACCCTCCCTCCACCCCTCCTCCCTCCAGTTCCCATCTTTGCATGTGCCAGATTCAATCGTGGTGACATGCCCCGTGGCTAGTTCAGCTCCCTCTGTGTTCAGCTCCCTCTGTGTTCATCTCTGTCTGTGTGCTCTAGCTAGCTCCACTCTGTTGGTAGAGGCTTTCTTGTGCTGTGGGAGGGAGAGTGTAAAGTCATGCAGCATGTCTCTATACATATTTTTTTACATTTACATTTTAGTCATTTAGCAGACGCTCTTAACCAGAGCGACTTACAGGAGCAATTAGGGTTAAGTGCCTTGCTCAAGGGCACATTAACGTCATTTAGCAGACGCTCTTAGCCAGAGCGACTCACAAATTGGTGCGTTCACCCTATAGCCAGTGGGATAACCACTTTACAATTTGGGGGGGTTAGAAGGAATACTTTAGCCTATCCCAGGTATTCCTTAAAGAGGTGGGGTTTCAAATGTCTCCGGAAGGTGGTGAGTGACTCCGCTGTCCTGGCGTCGTGAGGGAGCTTGTTCCACCATTGGGGTGCCAGAGCAGCGAACAGTTTTGACTGGGCTGAGCGGGAGCTGTGCTTCCGCAGAGGAAGGGGAGCCAGCAGGCCAGAGGTGGATGAACGCAATGTCCTCGTTTGGGTGTAGGGACTGATCAGAGCCTGAAGGTACAGGGGTGCCGTTCCCCTCACTGCTCCAAAGGCAAGCACCATGGTCTTGTAGCGGATGTGAGCTTCAATTGGAAGCCAGTGGAGTGTGCGGAGGAGGGGGGTGACGTGAGAGAACTTGGGAAGGTTGAACACCAGACGGGCTGCGGCATTCTGGATGAGTTGTAGGGGTTTAATGGCACAGGCAGGGAGCCCAGCCAACAGCGAGTTGCAGTAGTCCAGACGGGAGATGACAAGTGCCTGGACCAGGACCTGCGCCGCTTCCTGTGTAAGGCAGGGTCGCACTCTCCGAATGTTGTAGAGCATGAACCTGCTATCAGCTGATAGAGTTGTAGTGTGTGGCCACTGGGTCGACAATAATAATAATAATAATAACGTAAGCACTGTAAGTCCACCATAGTGATGTAACACAACAGTAACACTGTCTACCATAGTGATGTAACACAACAGTAACACTGTCTACCATAGTGATGTAACACAACAGTAACACTGTCTACCATAGTGATGTAACACAACAGTAACACTGTCTACCATAGTGATGTAACACAACAGTAACACTGTCTACCATAGTGATGTAACACTGTCTACCATAGTAATGTAACACAACAGTAACACTGTCTACCACAGTGATGTAACACAACAGTAACACTGTCTACCATAGTGATGTAACACTGTCTACCATAGTAATGTAACACAACAGTAGCACTGTCTACCATAGTGATGTAACACAACAGTAGCACTGTCTACCATAGTGATGTAACACAACAGTAACACTGTCTGCCATAGTGATGTAACACAACAGTAACACTTTCTACCATAGTGATGTAACACTGTCTACCATAGTGACGTAACACTGTCTACCATAGTGATGTAACACAACAGTAACACTGTCTACCATAGTAATGTAACACAACAGTAACACTGTCTACCATAGTGATGTAACACTGTCTACCATAGTAATGTAACACAACAGTAACACTGTCTACCATAGTGATGTAATACAACAGTAACACTGTCTACCATAGTGATGTAACACTGTCTACCGTAGTGAAGTAATACAACAGTAACATTGTCTATCATAGTGATGTAACACAACAGCAACACTCTCTACCAGAGTGATGTAACACAACAGTAACACAGTCTACCATAGTGATGTAACACAACAGTAACACTGTCTACCATAGTGATGTAACACAACCGTAACACTGTCTACCAGGCTATAAGGTGAATGCACCAATTTGTATGTCGCTCTGGATAAGAGCGTCTGCTAAATGACGTAAATGTAAATAATGATGTAACACAACAGTAAGACTGTCTACCATAGTAATGTAACACAACAGTAACACTGTCTACCATAGTGATGTAATACAACAGTAACACTGTCTACCATAGTGATGTAACACTGTCTACCGTAGTGATGTAACACAACAGTAACACTGTCTACCATAGTGTTGTAACACTGTCTACAATAGAGATGAAACACAACAGTAACACTGTCTACCATAGTGATGTAACACTGTCTACCATAGTGAAGTAAAACACAACAGTAACACTGTCTACCATAGTGATGTAACACAACAGTAAGACTGTCTACCATAGTGATGTAACACAACAGTAACACTGTCTACCATAGTGATGTAAAACAACAGTAACACTGTCTACCATAGTGATGTAACACTGTCTACCGTAGTGATGTAATACTGTCTACCGTAGTGATGTAATACTATAGTAACACTGTCTATCAAAATGATGTAACACAACTATAATACAGTCTACCATAGAGATGTAACACAACAGTAACACTGTCTACCATAGTGATGTAACACTGTCTACTATAGTGAAGTAAAACACAGCAGTAACACTGTCTACCATAGTGATGTAACACAGTCTACCATAGTAATGTAACACAACAGTAAAACTCTACCATAGTAATGTAACACAACAGTAACACTGTCTACCATAGTAATGTAACACAACAGTAACATTGTCTACCATAGTGATGTAACACTGTCTACCATAGTGAAGTAAAACACAACAGTAACACTGTCTACCATAGTGATGTAACACTGTCTAACCTAGTGATGTAATACTATAGTAACACTGTCTACCATAGTGATGTAACACAACTGTAACACAGTCTACCATAGTGGTGTAACACAACAGTAACACAGTCTACCATAGTGGTGTAACACAACAGTAACACTGTCTACCATAGTGATGTAACACAACAGTAACACTGTCTACCATAGTGATGTAACACTGTCTACCATAGTGATGTAACACAAAATTAACACTGTCTACCATAGTGATGTAACACAACAGTAATACTGTCTACCATAGTGATGTAACACAACAGTAACACTGTCTACCATAGTGATGTAACACAACAGTAGCAATGTGTACCATAGTGATGTAACACTGTCTACCATAGTGATATAACACAACAGTAACACTGCCTACCGTAGTGATGTAACACAACAGTAACACTGTCTACCATAGTGATGTAACACTGTCTACTATAGTGAAGTAAAACACAACAGTAACACTGCCTACCGTAGTGATGTAACACAACAGTAACACTGTCTACCATAGTGATGTAACACAGTCTACCATAGTAATGTAACACAACAGTAACACTCTACCATAGTAATGTAACACAACAGTAACATTGTCTACCATAGTGATGTAACACTGTCTACCATAGTGATGTAACACTGTCTACTATAGTGAAGTAAAACACAACAGTAACACTGTCTACCATAGTGATGTAACACAACTGTAACACAGTCTACCATAGTGGTGTAACACAACAGTAACACAGTCTACCATAGTGGTGTAACACAACAGTAACACTGTGTACCATAGTGATGTAACACAAAAGTAACACTGTCTACCATAGTGATGTAACACAACAGTAACACTGTCTACCATAGTGATGTAACACAACAGTAACACTGTCTACCATTGTGATGTAACACAACAGTAGCAATGTGTACCATAGTGATGTAACACTGTCTACCATAGTGATGTAACACAACAGTAACACTGCCTACCGTAGTGATGTAATACAACAGTAACACTGTCTACCATAGTGATGTAACACTGTCTACCATAGTAATGAAACACAACAGTAAAACTGTCTACAATAGTGATGTAACAGTCTATCATATTGATGTAACACAACAGTAACACTGTCTACCATAGTGATTTAACACAACAGTAACACTGTCTACCATAGTGATGTAATACAACAGTAACACTGTCTACCATAGTGATGTAACACTGTCTACCATAGTGATGTAACATTGTCTACCATAGTGATGTAACACAACAGTAACACTGTCTACCATAGTAATGTAACACAACAGTAACACTGTCTACCATAGTGATGTAATACAACAGTAACACTGTCTACCATAGTGATGTAACACTGTCTACCGTAGTGATGTAATACAACAGTAACACTGTCTACCATAGTGATGTAACACTGTCTACCGTAGTGACTTAATACAACAGTAACACTGTCTACCATAGTAATGTAACACAACAGTAACACTGTCTACCAGAGTGATGTAACACAACAGTAACACAGTCTACCATAGTGATGCAACACAACAGTAACACTGTCTACCATAGTGATGTAACACAACCGTAACACTGTCTACCAGGCTATAAGGTGAATGCACCAATTTGTATGTCGCTCTGGATAAGAGTGTCTGCTAAATGACGTAAATGCAAATGTAAATAATGATGTAACACAACAGTAACATGGTATACCATAGTAATGTAACACAACAGTAACACTGTCTACCATAGTAATGTAACACAACAGTAACACTGTCTACCATAGTGATGTAATACAACAGTAAAACTGTCTACCATAGTGATGTAACAGTGTCTACCATAGAGATGTAACACAACAGTAACACTGTCTACCATAGTAATGTAACACAACAGTAACACTGTCTACCATAGTGATGTAACACAACAGTAACACTGTCTACCATAGTGATGTAACACTGTCTACCATAGTGAATTAAAACACAACAGTAACACTGTCTACCATAGTGATGTAACACAACAGTAAGACGGTCTACCATAGTGATGTAACACAACAGTAACACTGTCTACCATAGTGATGTAAAACAACAGTAACACTGTCTACGATAGTAATGTAACACTGTCTACCGTAGTGATGTAACACAACAGTAACACTGTCTACCATAGTAATGTAACACAACAGTAACACTGTCTACCATAGTGATGTAAAACAACAGTAACACTGTCTACGATAGTAATGTAACACTGTCTACCATAGTGATGTAACAGTGTCTACCATAGAGATGTAACACAACAGTAACACTGTCTACCATAGTGATGTACCACTGTCTACTATAGTGAAGTAAAACACAACAGTAACACTGTCTACCATAGTGATGTAACACTTTCTACCATAGTGATGTAACACAACAGTAACACTGTCTACCATAGTGTTACTGTTGTGTTACATCACAATGGTAGACAGTGTACATCACTATGGTAGACAGTGTTACTGTTGTGTTACATCACAATGGTAGACAGTGTACATCACTCTCTACCATAGTGATGTAACAGTCTATCATAGTGATGTAACACAACAGTAACACTGTCTACCATAGTTATGTAATACAACAGTAACACTGTCTACCATAGTGATGTAACTCAACAGTAACACAGTCTACCATAGTTATGTAACACAACAGTAACAATGTCTACCATAGTGATGTAACACAACAGTAACACTGTCTACCATAGTAATGTAACACAACAGTAACACTGTCTACCATATTGATGTAATACAACTGTAACACTGCCTACCATAGTGATGTAACACTGTCTACCATAGTGATGTAACACAACAGTAACACTGTCTACCATAGTAATGTAACACAACAGTAACACTGTCTACCATATTGATGTAATACAACTGTAACACTGCCTACCATAGTGATGTAACACTGTCTACCATAGTGATGTAACACAACAGTAACACTGTCTACCATAGTAATGTAACACAACAGTAACACTGTCTACCATAGTGATGTAACACTGTCTACCGTAGTGATGTAATACAACAGTAACACTGTCTACCTTAGTGATGTAACACAACAGTAACACTGTCTACCAGAGTTATGTAACACAACAGTATCACTGTCTACCATAGTGATGTAATACAACAGTAACACTGTCTACCATAGTGATGTAACACTGTCTACTATAGTGAAGTAAAACACAACAGTTACACTGTCTACCTTAGTGATGTAACACTGTCTACCATAGTGAAGTAAAACACAACAGTAACACTGTCTACCATAGTGATGTAACACTGTCTACCGTAGTGATGTAATACTATAGTAAAACTGTCTACCATAGAGATGTAACACAACAGTAACACTGTCTACCATAGTGATGTAACACTGTCTACCATAGTGATTTAACACAACAGTAACACTGTCTACCATAGTGATGTCACACTGTCTACCATATTGATGTAACACAACAGTAATACGGTCTACCATAGCGATGTAACACTGTCTACAATAGTGAAGTAACACTGTCTACCATTGTGATATAACACAACAGTAACACTGTCTACCATAGTGATGTAACACTGTCTACCATTGTGATGTAAAACAACACTAACACTGTCTACCATATTGATTTAACACAACAGTAACACTGTCTACCATAGTGATGTAACACAACAGTAACACTGTCTACCATAGTGATGTAACACAACAGTAACACTGTCTACCATAGCGATGTAACACTGTCTACCATAGTGATGTAACACTGTCTACCATAGTGATGTACACTGTCTACCATAGTCATGTAACACAACAGTAACACTGTCTACCATAGTGAAGTAACACTGTCTACCATTTTGATATAACACAACAGTAACACTCTCTACCATAGTGATGTAACAGTCTATCATATTGTTTTAACACAACAGTAACATTGTCTACCATAGTGATGTAACACAACAGTAAAACTGTCTACCATAGTGATGTAACACTGTCTACCATAGTGATGTAACACAACAGTAACAATGTCTACCATAGTGATGTAACACAACAGTAACACTGTCTACCATAGTGATGTAACACAACAGTAACACTGTCTACCATAGTGATGTAACACAACAGTAACACTGTCTACCATAGTGATGTAAAACAACACTAACACTGTCTACCATAGTGATGTAACACAACAGTAACACTGTCTACCATAGTGATGTAACACAACAGTAACACTGTCTACCATAGTGATGTCACACTGTCTACCATAGTGATGTAACAGTCTATCATATTGTTTTAACACAACAGTAACATTGTCTACCATAGTGATGTAACACAACAGTAAAACTGTCTACCATAGTGATGTAACACTGTCTACCATAGTGATGTAACACAACAGTAACAATGTCTACCATAGTGATGTAATACAACAGTAACACTGTCTGCCATAGTGATTTAACACAACAGTAACACTGTCTACCATAGTGATGTAACACAACAGTAACACTGTCTACCATAGTGATGTCACACTGTCTACCATAGTGATTTAACACAACAGTAACACTGTCTACCATAGTGATGTCACACTGTCTACCATAGTAATGTAACACAACAGTAACACTGTCTACCATAGTGATGTCACACTGTCTACCATAGTGATGTAACACAACAGTAACACTGTGTAACATAGTGATGTAACATAACAGTAACACTGTCTACCATAGTGATGTAACACAACAGCAACACTGTCTACCATAGTGATGTAACAGAACAGTAACACCGTCGACGATAGTGATGTTACATAACAGTAACACTGTCTACCATAGTGATGTAACACAACATTAACACTGTCTACCATAGTGATGTAACACTGTCTACCATAATAATATTACACAACAGTACACTGTCTACCATAGTGATGTAATAGTTGATCATAGTGATGTAACACAACAGTAACACTGTCTACCATAGTGATTTAACACAACAGTAACACTGTCTACCATAGTGATGTAACACAACAGTAACACTGTCTACCATAGTGATGTAACACAACAGTAACACTGTCTACCATAGTGATGTAACACTGTCTACCATAGTGATGTAACACAACAGTAACACTGTCTACCATAGTGATATAACAATGTCTACCATAGTGATGTAACACAACAGCAACACTGTCTACCATAGTGATGTAACAGAACAGTAACACCGTCGACGATAGTGATGTTACATAACAGTAACACTGTCTACCATAGTGATGTAACACAACATTAACACTGTCTACCATAATAATATTACACAACAGTAACACTGTCTACCATAGTGATTTAACAAAACAGTAACACTGTCTACCATAGTGATGTAAGACAACAGTAACACTGTGTAACATAGTGATGTAACACAACAGTAACACTGTCTACCATAGTTATGTAACACAACAGTAACGCTCTCTACCACAGTGATGTAAGACAACAGTAACACAACATAGTAATGTAATACAACAGTAACACTTTGTACCATAGTGATGTAACACAACAGTAACACTGTCTACCATAGGGGCCAGTGTAAGACTACAGGAATACTGTAGTTATGTTTACTTTAATATCTCATCTAAAACACCCCAAGACTCCCATCAGAATTCCTTTTTCCTCTCTGTACACACCAATACACATGAACATGCACGCACGCACGCACGCACGCACGCACGGAAAAACACACACACACACACACACACACACGGCTTACAGTAAAGTGGGTCTCAATTAGTATTGAAGAACTCCATGAGAAAGATAGCTAGTCATTATTTTTAATAGACAGAGAAGAAACATGATACCTGGCTGATATCAGGCTGGAGGCATTAAACTGGTTCTCCTGAGGCTCATCCTGTTTATTAGGCTCATCCTGTTTATTAGGCTGCACCCTAAATAGCACCCTATTCCATATATTGCTAGTGCACTACTTTTGATGATAGCCCTGGTCAAAAATAGTGCACTATATAGGGAATAGGGTGCCATATATTTTATCACAGTCTGGCTGGAGAGAGAATAGCTGCTATCAAAACTCAGGAGTCTGTAATATCAATGAGTGATTTAGGTTCAGTGGTAGTGTTCCTCCCTGTTTTACCACAACTAGTGCAGTGCGGTTTATGTGTTGAGCAGTGCAGTGATGTACAGTAACATAGTTGTATGTACAGTAACAAGACTGTGTGGTGTGTGTTATTCTTTCCCTTGTATGTATTGTTGTGTGTTTACTTTGTGTGTTTTCATGCTGCTGGCTGCCTTCATCCTCTACTCACCCTGCGTGTGTGTGTGTGTGTTATATATACAGTGGGGGAAAAAAGTATTTAGTCAGCCACCAATTGTGCAAGTTCTCCCACTTAAAAAGATGAGAGAGGCCTGTAATTTTCATCATAGGTACACGTCAACTATGACAGACAAATTGAGATTTCCAGAAAATCAAATTGTAGGATTTTTAATGAATTTATTTGCAAATTATGGTGGAAAATAAGTATTTGGTCACCTACAAACAAGCAAGATTTCTGGCTCTCACAGACCTGTAACTTCTTCTTTAAGAGGCTCCTCTGTCCTCCACTCGTTACCTGTATTAATGGCACCTGTTTGATCTTGTTATCAGTATAAAAGACACCTGTCCACAACCTCAAACAGTCACACTCTAAACTCCACTATGGCCAAGATCAAAGAGCTGTCAAAGGACACCAGAAACAAAATTGTAGACCTGCACCAGGCTGGGAAGACTGAATCTGCAATAGGTAAGCAGCTTGGTTTGAAGAAATCAACTGTGGGAGCAATTATTAGGAAATGGAAGACATACAAGACCACTGATAATCTCCCTCGATCTGGGGCTCCACGCAAGATCTCCCCCCGTGGGGTCAAAATGATCACAAGAACGGTGAGCAAAAATCCCAGAACCACACGGGGGGACCTAGTGAATGACCTGCAGAGAGCTGGGACCAAAGTAACAAAGCCTACCATCAGTAACACACTACGCCGCCAGGGACTCAAATCCTGCAGTGCAAGACGTGTCCCCCTGCTTAAGCCAGTACATATCCAGGCCCGTCTGAAGTTTGCTAGAGTGCATTTGGATGATCCAGAAGAGGATTGGGAGAATGTCATATGGTCAGATGAAACCAAAATAGAACTTTTTGGTAAAAACTCAACTCGTCGTGTTTGGAGGACAAAGAATGCTGAGTTGCATCCAAAGAAAACCATACCTACTGTGAAGCATGGGGGTGGAAACATCATGCTTTGGGGCTGTTTTTCTGCAAAGGGACGAGGACGACTGATCCGTGTAAAGGAAAGAATGAATGGGGCCATGTATCGTGAGATTTTGAGTGAAGATTAAATGTGGCTGGGTCTTTCAGCATGACAATGATCCCAAACACACCGCCCGGGCAACGAAGGAGTGGCTTCGTAAGAAGCATTTCAAGGTCCTGGAGTGGCCTAGCCAGTCTCCAGATCTCAACCCCATAGAAAATCTTTGGAGGGAGTTGAAAGTCCGTGTTGCCCAGCGACAGCCCCAAAACATCACTGCTCTAGAGGAGATCTGCATGGAGGAATGGGCCAAAATACCAGCAACAGTGTGTGAAAACCTTGTGAAGACTTACAGAAAACGTTTGACCTGTGTCATTGCCAACAAAGGGTATATAACAAAGTATTGAGAAACTTTTGTTATTGACCAAATACTTATTTTCCACCATAATTTGCAAATAAATTCATAAATAATCCTACAATGTGATTTTCTGGATTTTTTTCTCATTTTGTCTGTCATAGTTGACGTGTACCTATGATGAAAATTACAGGCCTCTCTCATCTTTTTAAGTGGGAGAACTTGCACAATTGGTGGCTGACTAAATACTTTTTTTCCCCACTGTATATATAACACACACACACACACACGCAGGGTGAGTAGAGGATGAAGGTGTGTTATGTGTACTGTGTGTGTTTTCATGCAGCCGGGTGCCTTTCCCCTCTAACCCCGCTGCCTGTGTGTCTGTGTGTTCTGACAGGCCCTGGAAAGTGAGTTCGTGTCGTGTCAGCTGCATCAGTGGGTTGACCTTATTTTCGGCTACAAGCAGCGCGGGCCCGAGGCGGTGCGCGCCCTCAACGTCTTTCACCACCTGACCTATGAGGGTTCCGTCAGCCTGGACAGCATCACTGACCCCGCCCTCAGAGAGGTACGCCTTGACACGACACGCTACGATACGCACGTCACTGTCACCATGGACACCAACCCCCCCACCCCACCCCACCCCCCTCCCATCTACCCAGCTCCACCATAGATAGATACTGCTGTCTATCTGGGTTCAGTTCAGTTCATTTATTTGGTATTTTACAGGAATATGTCTCGCATTAAAGATATTAAACCATAAACATTTACAGACAACAGGACATAGATGACAACAACCACATAAAACCCATATTGAGTACACACCAGATATGGGTTTACAGTATAGTTGTTGCAAATACATGATCAATACAGTACAAAGTCAAGGGTAGCTTTATTTACTGTCTCTCATTTACTCCATTTACTATTGACATTATTCTATACTACCTCTATACTACTCCAGACGTGCACGCACGCACGCTCACTCACTCACTCACTCACATTCACACCCAGATCAATGAATGTTAGTCTGAAGTGTTGTTTGATATAAATCATCAAGGGGTCATCTAGTGAATAGACATGGGAGTGAATCCTCTCATTTACATTTAATTAATTGACTAGATCTGAACTGTTCTCTGAGCAGCAGGAAGCTGTGAATAACTTAATTGCAGAGAGCGCGAGAGAGAGGGGAGGGAGAGGGGGAGGAAGAGAGAAATGGAGAGGTGGAGGTAGAGAGAGAGAGAGGGAGAGGGAGAGCAATGGAGAGGAGGAGGTAGAGAGAGAGGGGGGTAGGTAGGTAGAGAAAGAGAGAGAGCGAGAGGAGGAGATAGGAGAGAGGAAGGTAGAGAGAGAGGGAGGTAGAGAAAGAAGGAGAGGTTGTGGTAGATGGGGAGTGTGAGGTAGAGGGAGAGGGAGGTAGAGAGATCGAGAGGAGGAGGAGGAGGAGGAGTGGAGCTGAGACTACAGTACAGCAGTAGCAGCTGGCATGCTGCAGCAGTGTGGTGTTTCCAGTGTGATCTCCTCTCCCTGTGATATCCACCATCTGCCGTCTGCAAAACAACTCATTTATATCCCGTCACTTCCCGGGCCGCCTTTATCTATCAAGTGACCACTATGCAAATCACTCAGCTGCCTAATTACCAAACAATATGGACAACGGCTTTGGTTTTCATTATTTCCTCTCAGGCTTTTTCAGACAATGGCAATTATTGGAGTCATCCGGCTGTGAGGTTGTGGAAGCTGTCTGTCTGTCTGCCACCCTGCGAGACGATGGCGTTGGGATGGAAGCTGACTGTGTAGCTTCATACTGCCTAATGTTGGTGGCCAGTTGATGTTGTCTCCTTTCTGACATGTGTCTGTGTGTCTCTGTGTGTTGGAGGGAGGACTTAGCTCAGCTAAATGCAATGGAAAAAGGCTGCCTTTTGGGACGCATCCCAAATATAGATTCGCCTGATAATGGTGGAAGTGGTGGGATCCTGTGTATTGGTGGAAATAAGGTGGCAGCGGTGGGATCCATGTGTGGAGCTGCTCCCCGTCAAAGGAGTCCAACATGGTTTTCTTTTAGCTGACCCAGCAAGCCAGTCAGTCAGCCAGCCAGCCTATCAGTTAGTCAGTTAGTCAGTCAGTCAGCCATTCTGAGTGGATGTGCTGATTGGCTCCATAACATTCTGAGATGTGCTGATTGGCTTCAGAACATTCTGAGATGTGCTGATTGGCTCCAAAACATTCTGGGATGTGCTGATTGGCTTCAGAACATTCTGAGATGTGCTGATTGGCTCCAAAAAATTCTGGGATGTGTTGATTGGCTCCAGAACATTTTAGGATGTGTTGATTGGCTTCAGGCAGGTACTGGTCATACCTGTCTGACAGGTGCAACCGCAGGTCTGACATTAACCGCTGCAATTATGACATTAAAATGTCAAGGAATTAGAAAGTCAGAATGAGAGATAATCATTCCTCTGACTAGGTGTCAGATTAGACTGGCTGATTGCTGCTGCTGTTACATGCGTCCGGGCCATTGTTGGCTAAGACAGGCGTCCGGGCCGTGGTTGGCTGAGGGAACAGTGACAGGTCTACTGGGCGCGCTGCTGGAACAGCAGTCCTACTACATCCTTGATGTCGATGCTGAAAGCCTGCTGTGTCACTCTGACACAAACAGACAAATTATTCATCAGTGAGGCTGTTCTCCTGCAGACAGCCAGTCACACAGCCTCCAGTTAGATGGCCCATTACTGCCTATTGAAGGGACAAACAACATGGGGGATGTGTGCTAGACCAATGAAGGTGTTCTTGTAATGACAGAAACTTTGAAGCTGCTTTCATTAATGCTTACTGCAGTCACCTTGCTATAGTAGCAGCGCTGGCATGCTAGTGTTTACATAGTTGACCTCAACTGTAAGAAAATCCCTTGATAAGCTATACATAACTTAAAAGATACAGATTACTGGTGATGGTAGCTGTGGTTGTGACAACATTGTTAGAGACAAGCCGATGTACTTCTACATACAGTAGTTGACATGTTAACTCAAAGACAGTCATTCAGGCTAACCTCTGTCTGTGGTGAAAGGATTACCCACAGCCAATCCACACTGGCTCAACTCACTTACATTGTTCCAATGACAATGGGAAATGTTAACTTCATAACCTCACAACAAGGTTTTAATAGTGTAAGAAAGGATGGAATTCAAAACATATTTTTTGGCTTTGTGTGGTTAACGTTTGTGCTTCAATGTTTCTTATAGATCCTTTAGAATTTAATCATGTGATAATTAAGAACTACAGTCATCACACTTCCAGAGGAAAAGTCTGATCTCAACTACACAGAAAAACACCATCTATTAGTATGACCAATCCGTGTTGATTTGGTGTGTGGAGCATTTATTCAATGTTGTTGAAAGGTGATGCATACCTGGCGAACAGGTGTTAGTTAGTTCCCACTTCCCAGGTACGATGAGTCAGTACTATACCACGCACTATACCTGTCTGTCTGTTGTTCATCCCCCTGCCCACCCGTCTGTCCATCTGTCTGCCCCACAGGCCAGGGGATAGCTGCTGATATCACCTGTGTGTTCATCCAGGCAGGTTGGTTGTTGCTGGGAGCTACATCAGCAGATAGTTATGCAATACGTGTCACTTATCAGCCAAATGACAGGCAGGGCCTTAAAGCTGGCGGGCCGTAAATGAATGAACTGCCTGTTAAGTCTTCTAGATGGCTGTTTGAGATACAGGTGAATTTCTGACACACCGACCGCAGAGAGGATTAGAGCTATTGGCATGTTGTTGTGATGGTCGGGAGAAAACATGCACTTCAGATAACCTTCAATCTCTCTCTCTCTCTCTCTCTCGCTCTCGCTCTCTCTCTCTCTCTGCTTTCTGCTATTTTTCTTTCCCTCTCTCTCTGCTCTTTCTGCTCACACTCGTTCTTTGACTGTAGAAATAGAGCAGTTGTACACAGTCAAGGAATTCTTCCGTACATTTTTTCTTCTGTGTTCTGGAATAGAATGAATGGTCAGAAAATAGGCTGATGTCTTCCACATGGCCCTCTGGTTCTTTCAGATCTCTGGATCAGATTTCGTTATGTGAACAGACTTGGTGACCCTCACCCCAGCCCTCACCTAAAATAGCTATAATGGGACTAGGTTATTACTTGACGGACTGCGTAGTAAAGAACCACTGACTGATAATGGTTGCCAAATGTGCTCGCCGCCCGATGACTCACAGGAAACATCCACTGGTGTTCCACGATGTTCAACTGACCAGGGGGCCTCACCTCTCTGGTGCTATGCATAATGGGAAGTGACCCGGGGATTGTGGGTAGACGGTCCTGGCTAAGAATCGCCTTCTACCCAGAACACATTGCTCCCACTCTGGCATGTGGTTGCCAATGGAAGCTGTAGATACTGAGTGGTGTGTACTGTCTAGTACTATGTGTGTTTTGTGTGTGCGTGCATGTGTGTGTGTGTGTTTGCTCTCTGCCTTTGTTCCAGGCACAATAACATGTACGTGGGGCCTGCTGCAGTCCTAGCATCACGTCAGTCCAGGTTAGCGTTAGTGTGGAGGGTCCCGGGCTGGGGATGGGAATGGTTAACTGAAGCATGTTAATAGGGAAAGGGTTGTCTCTTCCATACTAACACTTGGATGACTCTGCAGGCTGTGGGGGGAGGAAAGGGGGAGGAAGGGGGGAGGGTGAGGACCCAGGCGGATTGGGAATGCACCCCTCTCCTCTATCTACGCCCCTCCTCGGAGGCACGGCTGAGTTAGGATCTGCTTGCATTGTCAACTAACGCATTGACCCATCACTTTGATGAATATTGATAGTGACAGGAGTCTCTCTTTCTCATCTCTCTCCTCTCTCTCCTCCCCCTTTCTCCATCTCTGTCTACCTTCTCCCCCTCTCTCTCCCTCTCTATTGCTCTCTCCCTGCTCTCCCCCTCTCTCTCCCTCTCTATTGCTGTCTCTCCCCTGCTCTCCCCCTCTCTCTCCCTCTCTAACGCTGTCTCTCCCCTGCTCTCCCCCTCTCTCTCCCTCTCTATTGCTCTCTCCCCTGCTCTCCCTCTCTCTCTCTCTCTATTTCTCTCTCCCCTGCTCTCCCCTCTCTCCCTCTCTATTTCTATCTCTCCCCTGCTCTCCCCCTCTCTCTCCCTCTCTATTTCTGTCTCTCCCCTACTCTCCCCCTCTCTCTCCCTCTCTATTTCTGTCTCTCCCCGGCCCTCCCCCTCTCTCTCTCTCCCTCTCTATTTCTGTCTCTCCCCTGCTCTCCCCCTCTCTCTCTCTCCCTCTCTATTTCTGTCTCTCCCCTGCTCTCCCCTTCTCGCTCCCTCTCTATCGCTGTCTCTCCCTGCTCTCTTCACTCTCTTTTTATACTATCTCCCTCTCTCTCGCTCTCACCCCCACCTTCCTGCTCGCTCTCCCTCTCTCTCTCCTCTCTCCTCAGGCGATGGAGCAGCAGATTCTGATTGTTGGACAGACTCCGTCTCAGTTGCTCATCGAGCCACATCCACCTCGCAGTTCGGCCATGCACCTGGTGAGACACACGACATGCTGGAAAATGTCTCTCCACTGCATCTCTGTCTATCTGTGTGCGTGTGTGTGTGTCCGTGCAAGTGTGTCTGTGCATTCGTGTGTGTGTTTGCATGGTGTGTTTGTGGTGTGTGTGGCAGTCCCATCTCTCCATGGTGGGAGAGAGAAATTGTTGTCAGTAGGTTTCTCTATGCTCTCTTCTCTACCATGTTCTCCACTCGTTGTACCCACTCCCCATTTCAACTCTCATGTATGTCTGTATTCAAGCAGGTTGCAAGCACCAGCACTAAAAAGTAGAAATGTGCAATGAAAGCATCAGAAGTCAACACAGACAATACATTTAGATTTTACAAACATTTTCACCATTAAATATCAAAACCATAACAATACCAATTCCTTACTCAGTACCATAAAATAACTACTACCAACATATTTCCCATGGCTCCATTGAATGAGGAATTGATGTGTCTATTGTGTAGAGCAGAGGGAAGAGTGCCCCCTACTGGCCCAGTTCTACCACAGCAGTCAGCTGCTGTCTGAGGTGTTGTTGGTTTAGTCCTTTTTGCTATCCCCATACAGTCAACTAAACTGAGGGCCACATTTTCCTAGTGCAAAAGAATTGTGCAAAGTGCAAAAATTACCTACATTATTTAGCACTAGGAAAATGTTGCCCTGACTGTGCTTGCAAGTTAAGATACATGCATATGGATGGACAACCCTGATGTTTCATGTACTAACCATCTGACATGTACAACAGCTCCATCTCATGTTTCTAACCCTTGTCTGTCTGTATTTGTGTATGTGTGTCTGCATGTATGTCTATATGTACAGTATGTCTGTTTGTCTGACTGACCACCAGACTGTCAGGGGGGTCCTCTTCTCCTTCCTTCCTCCCCATCTCCTCCCCACCTCTCCTCCCCCTCCTCCTCCTCCCTTCCTCCTACCTCCCCTCCTCCTCCTCCTTCCTGTCCTCCTCCTCTTCCTCCCTCATGCCCTCCCTCCCTCCCTCCCTCCCTCCCTCCCTCCCTCCCTCCCTCCCTCCCTCCCTCCTCCCTCCCTCCCCTCCTCCTCCTCCTCCCTCCTGTCCTCCTCCCTACCCTCTCCCCTCCCCTCCTCCTCTTCCTCCTCCTCCCTACCCTCTCCCCTCCTCCTCTTCCTCCTCCTCCCTACCCTCTCCCCTCCTCCTCTTCCTCCTCCTCCCTACCCTCTCTCCCCTCCTCTCTTCCCTCCTCCTCCTCCACCATGTACATGCAGCTCCTGTGTCTGAACCCTGTTTTACCTCCACACTAATTACATCTCCATTCTGTCCCCTTCTCTCTCCTCATCCTCCTCCATCCTCCACCCTCCACACTCCTTCTCTTCTTCTCTCTTCTACTCAATAGTGTTTCCTTCCCCAGAGCCCTCTGATGTTTAAGGACCAGATGCAGCAGGATGTGATCATGGTGTTGAAGTTCCCTTCCAACTCCCCAGTGACCCACGTAGCAGCCAACACCCTGCCACACCTCTCTGTACCTGCCGCTGTCACCGTCACCTGCAGCAGACTGTTCGCTGTCAACCGCTGGCACAACACTGTCGGTGAGTGGACTACACACAGAGGCCAGCAAACACAGGGCAGAACACACATATGCACACACACACACACTCACAGGCCAGAACACACATGCTCTTGTAAAACGAATTGCGTGTTCCACCACGTGCTACCTACCACAGCAGGGGCCCTGTAAAACCCCTCCATACCAACCTGTTCAGGTCTGTAGCAGCCTGGGTCTGTAGCAGACTGGGTCTGGAGCAGCCTGGGTCTGGAGCAGCCTGGGTCTGGAGCAGCCTAGGTCTGTAGCAGACTCGGTCTGGAGCAGCCTGGGTCTGGAGCAGCCTGGGTCTGGAGCAGCCTGGGTCTGGAGCAGCCTGGGTCTGTAGCAGACTCGGTCTGGAGCAGCCTGGGTCTGGAGCAGCCTGGGTCTGGAGCAGCCTGGGTCTGGAGCAGCCTGGGTCCGGAGCAGCCTGGGTCCGGAGCAGCCTGGGTCTGGAGCAGCCTGGGTCTGGACAAACTAGAGTTTGTCAGCGCCATCTCCACAGTCATTCATGGTTGCATCCCTAATTGCACCCGAATCCCTGTATAGTCCACTTCATTTGACCAGTGCCTTACCACTGCATCATATCTACCCACACAGCTACACCCCTTGGTCAGGTGAAGAGAGTCTGAGTGCTTCCACATGTTGGTCCTCAGGCATGTGTGAACAACACTACCCACCAACACTCCAAGGAACACACACACACACACACACGCACGCAGGCGCACAAACACATACACACATATATGCACACACAAACGCAAACACACACACACCTACACACTTCTCAGAAACCAAACTCAACTCAGGGTCAAGCGTCACTGCAAAGCTTACTGGGAAATTAGGCTGTGACTGCACCACATTCTCCTCACACTTCCACATCTATCACCGGAGCACACACTCATCACACACACACACGCACACACACCGAGTTGAGGACCAGAGTGGAGCCTTACATTCTGTCGTTAATGACCACAGCTGCAGCTCCAATGTTTTTCTGTTGGAGAGAAGAAAAGTGTTCTGGGTTCCAACAATAATGAGCAGAATACTAAGGGCTTCATATTCCCAGCATGCTGTTGTGTTTCTGCCCTCCAGTCACCCTCCAGGGGATCATAGCTCTACTCAGCCTGACAGTCAGAAACTGAAATCAATAAGCTTCATGGAAACCTTCATGAACCAACCTCTGACCATGGAGCAGGTGTGTGTGTGTGTGTGTGTGTGTGTGTGTATGTGTGTGTGTGTGCACGCATGTGTGCGTGCGTGATATACATGTTTAATGTATGTGTGTGTGTGTTTCTAGGTTTGAGAGGAGCGCCAGGTTACTCCCTGGAACAGGCCCACCACCTGCCCATAGAGATGGACCCTCTGATTGGTGAGTGTTACCCTGAGGACAGGCCAGACCATTGTACTGAATACTAACTAAGTTATCCCTCTGTGTGTGTGTGTAGCCAACAACTCTGGGAGTAACAAGCGTCAGATCACAGACCTGGTGGATCAGAGCATCCAGATCAACACACACTGCTTCGTGGTTACCGCCGACAACCGCTACATCCTGGTCTGTGGCTTCTGGGACAAGAGCTTCAGAGTCTACTCCACCGAGACAGGTAATACTAACTACCATGGTACTACTACTATAGTACCACCATAATACTACTACTATACTACTGTAATACTATACTACTGTAATACTATACTACTAGTATATTATGCTGTACTACTTCCACACAGTAGGCCTACACACATTGGTTTATATCATAATACTGTGTCTGTGCTGCAGGTAAGCTAACCCAGATAGTGTTCGGCCACTGGGACGTGGTGACGTGTCTGGCCAGGTCAGAGAGCTACATCGGGGGAGACTGCTACATCGTGTCAGGGTCCAGAGACGATACACTGCTACTGTGGTACTGGAGCGGACGACACCACATCATAGGAGACAACCCCAACAACAGTAAGTCAGAACACACACTCACATGCGCACGCACGCGCACACACACACACACACACACACACACACACACACACAGACAGACAGAGACACACACACACACACACACACACACACACACACACACACACACACACACACACACAGACAGACAGAGACACACACACACACACACACACACACACACACACACACACACAGACAGACAGAGACACACACACACACACACACAGTGTAACAGTCCTGCCCATGATACTAGCCCATAAAGACGCCAGTATCTGCCATCTGTCCAAGGGTAGAGAGAGGAAGCTCTTCATATCAGCTCAAATGAATTACAGCACCTCATAGTGGAGCTGGGGTTTATAAAGGTAGATGATTATATTAAAAGCAGCATTCTTTGATCAGCAGTGAAACTCCTGGTTTCCACTCTTGTTATCGAATAATGGACAGAGACAGGGAGCATGGCTGGTGCCAGAACGAATCAGTTGGACAGCATTTGATTTCTATAGGCTGACCGTTTTTTTCTCAAAATGTTGTTAATGTGTGTTATAGTAAAGACCATAGGCAGCTCGTGAGTTTCAAGTTTGCTGAAGCTTACAATTTATCCTACTAGTTCTACATGTCTGCGTGTTATATTATTTTTATATGCGCATTTTCGTGGAACACCTTCACTTCAATAATAACGTTTTCGTTTCTCAAAATTATTGTCATTTGGTTAATCATAAAAGTCTGAATTAAATGAATAAAAATCTAAAAGTAAAAATGCAACTAATGCAAGAGCACCAGCCTTTGCCATATGGACACATTGATACACTGTTATCCATTGGTGTCTAAAGAAATTAGAGCATGGAACTCAGAGATAGCCTATAGCCAATGCAGCACTAGGCCAATAACTTCCATCATCAACTAAGTAAAATACACAGGCCTAAAGCTGACAAATAAAAAACGGTAGAAAATATCCTGATTGCAATAATCTTTCTACTCTGCCCGTCTAACTCCCTTTCTATCTGTCTTGACTTGAGTTTTCACTAGTGAAGTGCAACGTTGTATCAACTCAGCAGGTTGGCGTGCTCAGGCACGCGCTCTCCTGCAACGTTATGAGAACAGAGAAACCACACATATACTCATTGCTCACATGGAGCACTCCAAACAAAAGACAATGAAAAACTCCCATTGGTTATGAAATAACCCAAAACTTGTTTCTCACAAGTGTAGCAAGTTGTGAACTCTGCAAACAACGTTTCCACTCCGATAATGAGAACGAAAAATTACTGTAACACATGCGTTAACAGAAATGTATGTAACCAAATGACGGGGATTAACAGTACATTTACTAGGCCTACTGGTTACATATTTAATGAGGAATTGATAAAAAATAAACAATCAAAGGGCAAACAATTCACACAATGAACAATGAATGTGCAAGAATTGGCAGGAAACAGCGGAGCACATTCTGGAGAGTTGAGTGCATGCATTCTGAAGAGACGCCCATATCTTCGCCACACACCTCCCCCTCTTCTTGTCTCAACATAAAAAATGATACTCAAGACACATTATCTTCACACATTTTAGATGCTTTTCAATGACAGCCGCAACTCAGTAATCAGCTAGGCCTATTGCCACGCGTGCTGCCCTAATTGCTGGCTTCCAAATAAGCATAGGCTATTCTTTTTTTAAAGAAGCTAATGCTCCTCTGTGACTAAGTCATGCTCTCTGGTAAAGTATTTTGAATTATTTTATTTAAACAGGAGTAATTATATAATTATGGCAAAACATAAATTTACTTTAGGGCAATCCAGCATCCGAACAGCGCACCCGACAACTTTCCTTTCTAATTTGCAAGTGGCTGAAACCAGAGATCTGTATATAATGACGAGATGCTCATGTCTCTGCCTTAACAATGCGAGTCGTTGTCCCAAAGGCAGGAATGCAGGCGACAAGTTTAGGTCTGCATATTATGCCCATAGAAACGCATTGGGCTTATTCAGGACAGATTTTGGCGAGAGTGAGCTCTCTCGCTTCGCCTCTTCCTCTCTGGTAAAACTAGCGAGCGAAACAGCGCGGCTCTGTCTTACTAAATGTAGCCCATGTATCTGATGCTGTCTGTCCAGAAAAAGTATAACATGCCATACTCCTTTCGTCCAGACAGCATCAGATACATGGTCTACATATATGGAGACAGAGGGGCGCTGTTTCGCTCACTCGGATGCTATATCTGAGATTGATGCGTCTTTCTGTCGTCGCGCGTGTCGGTCAAATAAATTATCAATATTTCAACATTTTATTTGGACGGGCAAGGAGGTAAGGTACGGCGGGCCAGGGCCCCTAGGCCCCGCCCATAACGCTGGCCCTGACAGGGAGGAGCATCTACTGTATATGCACCTATATGTGTGTGTGTTGCTTTCCAGTAAAATACTCCAGATGTCTTGCTATTCAGTGTGATTTGATTTCTGCTGCTCTTCTCACTTAGTTCATCATACTCACTGATTATCTGTGTTCAAAACACCCACTTCACCATTTGTATGACTGGACATAATAACAGTGAGAGTGTGTGTGTGTAAGTGCAAGTGCGTGTTTGTAAGTATACTGTGTTTGTGTGTACTGTGCATGAACTGGTGTCACATGGGGCTGTGGTTGAGGCTTTCTCACTATCTTCACTGAAGCTAATTAAGAATTTCAGCTTAGTTTGTTCCAATTAGTAGAGGGGGTCACGGCACTGTACTGCAGGAGAACACACATACACCGCTTTCTGAACTGTACACCTTCCCTAGCAAAGGAAGGTTACTTCTATGGAGAGAACTTCAACTATTCACATTCCATATCAATCAAACCTGGTTGTTTGATATCAGTTTTCTCAGTGAAGGAAAATTACACCAAAAAACTATATTTTTGTATTTGTTTCATTAGTCCATTGTTGACATAGTCCCAAAAAGTTTTGCTTGTCAGCAATCAAGTTTTCAAGACATGTAACTTTCAAAATACATAAATCATCATATGATGCAAAACGCAGCATCATATGATGCAAAACGCATCATATGGGGATGATATTTAGTAAATATTTTCTTAACTCTTTCTTGAACTGCATTGTTGGTAAAGGGCTTGTAAGTAAGCATTTCACGGTAAGGTCTACACTTGTTGTATTCGGCGCATGTGACAAATAACATTTTATTTGATTTCTGTATTTTGAAAGTTACATATCTTGAAAACTTGATTGCTGACAAGCAAAACATTTTGGAACTATGTCAACAATGGACTAATGAAACAAATACCAAAATATAGTTTTTAGGTGGAGTTTTCCTTTAAGCTGTTCATCACTATAGATGAAACACATAGTAGTCTTCAGTAGATAATATTATCTATTTAGTTGTATTATTTATAAAGCAGTTAATCATTATCAGTTATGATACAATTTTAAGATTAAAGATAATACTGTTTGCCAGACTTCAGTGCACAGCACTCTAGTGGCTGTAGAAATTAATAGTTAGGAGAGTATTATATTTGACAAATTTGAAGATGATGTAACCCGCAGCAGGGAGAGAACAGTGCCCTCCAGTGTTGCAACTACATCAGCCTGAGTCTGTCCTAAACACCTGGGGCCTCATTTATCAAAAGTGCGTGCACACAGAAAATACTCTAAACCTTGCGTGCACCAGTTTTCCTGTGAAGGTTGGTTTTTATCAATTTTGAACTTGACGGGAAAGTTTGCGTATCCACGCAAATCTCAGACCATGAATATACATAACATATAGTGGTTGATCAACTGTATTGCAAGCAAATATTGTTATTTTGAGGAAAATTGAGGTGTTTGATGAACAGGAATTATAATAATGGTAGGCTAATAAAAACATTAAAACAAAGGCCTGATTATAAAACAAATGCATTTACCATTGGTAAGGAGATCGCATAGCAGCATGTAGACTAATGTGTTTATTTTACTTTTATCATACAGTGCATTCGGAAAGTATTCAGACCCCTTGACTTTTTCTACATTTTGTTACGTTAAAGCCTTATTCTAAAATTGATTAAATAAATAGAAATCATCATCAATCTACATACAATACCCCACAATGACTAAGTGAAAACAGGTTTGTAGAATTTTTAGCAAATGTATTTAAAAAAAAAAAAAATACCTTATTTACTTAAGTATTCAGACCCTTTGTTATGAGACTCGAAATTGAGCTTAGGTGCATCCTGTTTCCATTGATCATCCTTGAGATGTTTCTACAACTTGATTGGAGTCCACCTGTGGTAAAGTAAATTGATTGGACATGATTTGGAAAGGCACACACCTGTCTATATAAGGTCCCACAGTAGACAGTACATGTCAGAGCAAAAACCAAGCCATGAGGTTGAAGGAATTGTCCGTAGAGCTCCGAGACAGGATTGTGTTGAGGCACAGATCTGGGGTAGGGTACCAAAAAATGTCTGCAGCGTTGAAGGTCCCCAAGAACAGTGGCATCCATCATTCTTAAATGGAAGAAGTTTGGAACCACCAAGACTCTTCCTAGAGCTGACCGCCAAACTGAGAAATCAGGGGAGAAGGGCCTTGGTCAGAGAGGTTACCAAGAACCCGATGGTCACTCTGACAGAGCTCCAGAGTTCCTCAGTGGAGATGGGAGAACCTTCGAGAATGACAACCATCTCTGCAGCACTCCACCGATCAGGCCTTTATGGTAGAGTGGCCAGACGGAAGCCACTCCTCAGTAAAAGGCACATGACAGCCCGCTTGGAGTTTGCCAAAAGGCACCTAAAGACTCTCAGACCATGAGAGACAAGATTCTCTGGCCTGAATGCCAAGCGTCACATCTGGAAGAAACCTGGCACCATCCCTAAGGTGAAGCATGGTGGTGGCAGCATCATGCTGTGGGGATGTTTTTCAGCAGCAGGGACTGGGAGACTAGTCAGGATCGAGGGAAAGATGAACGGAGCAAAGCACAGAGAAATCCTTGATGAAAACCTGCTCCCGAGCGCTCAGGATCTCAGACTGGGGCGAAGGTGCACCTTCCAACAGGACAACGACCCTAAGCACACAGCCAAGACAATGCAGGAGTGGCTTCGGGACAAGTCTCTGAATGTCCTTGAGTGGCCCAGCCAAAGCCCGGACTTGAACCCAATCGAACATCTCTGGAGAGACCTGAATATAGCTGTGCAGCGACGCTCCCTATCCAACCTGACAGCGATTGAGAGGATCTGCAGAGAAGAATGGGAGAAACTCCCCAAATACAGGTGTGCCAAGTGTGTAGTGTCATACCCAAGAAGACTCTAGGCTGTAATCGCTGCCAATGGTGCTTCAACAAAGTACTGAGTAAAGGGTCTGAATACTTATGTAAATGTAATACATATTTTATAAATTTTCAAATAAAATTCTAAAAACCTGTTTTTGCTTTGTCATTATGGGGTATTGTGTTTAGATTGATGAGGGGGAAATAGCAATTTAATCAATTTTAGAATAAGGCTGTAACGTAACAAAATGTGGAAAAAGTCAAGGGGTCTGAATACTTTCCGTATGCACTGTAATAATCATATTACAGGACATGTATCTCCATTTCTAACATGACTGGTTTATTCACGCTACACAACAAATATTAGGCTACCATTTATCCATTGCTCATTTAATAGCCAAACATGCTCCAAAGTAAATAGACTGGTAGCCTATTTAAATTTGACAGTATGGGTAGGCTACAGTATTGCTGTGCGATAGGAGCGTGACATCATAGTCTATTTAAATCCAGAGCCTATACCAAGGCAGGAGATAAACAAACATATATCTTTTTTTTCATAGAAGTGTGCTCCAGCATTTACTTTTATATTGTTTGAATAAATCAAACGTAGAATGTGCTGCCAGTGTTTGGCAGTTGCTATAGGCGGGATGCATTTTTGGTAAAAAAAAGTAACTGAAAAGATTAAAACATTCTGCCCACACCTCTACATAAATGTGATCATATTTGCCATTGCACTTTCTTTTAGAAACTGTTATGAGTCATGACCCAGTTCCAACATCTCCAAATCATACAGCAAATGAGGGCGTTTTTATTACCAAAAAAGGTGAATGGAGGACGTTTACCAGGTAAGGTTGTAACGCACATTCGAGAGCTCACAAATATAGTATGGCTCTGATTTATCAATGAAAAAAATTCATATATTTTGCATATGACAGTTTGATCAATCCCAATAATTAGTTGCTCACGCAAATCCTAGAATCTCCACATATGCCAGAATTTACGGAGAAATTTACGCATTTAAATGAGGCCCCTAATCATTAAAATTACTTTCAGCTCAATACCCTCTGCCTCTCAGGCCCAACTCGGCCCATACCACTGAAATGTGAGGCAGTGTGGGGAGGTAGGGGTGGGGTGGTTGTGTTGTCTGGCTGAGGTGTCCCTAGGGGTTGGGGGGGGCTGATTGAATCTTTTATAGGGCAGGTGAGCTGGATGAGTCTGTGGTCTCTCTGGAGGCCTTCTTTGACACATGTCCCATCAGCCACCTCACCGCTGTCCTGGGACTGCCAGGTCTGCTCTGGTCCTACTCTCTAAGGGACTGGAGAAGAGAGAGGGGTGAAAAGGAGGAGAGGGGAGGAGAGGAGAGGAAAGAGGGATGAGAGGAGAGAGAGAGGGAGGAGAGGAGAGGAAAGTGGGGGTGAGAGGAGAGAGGGGTGAAAGGGAATAGAGGAGAGGAGAGGAGAGAGGGATGAGAAGGGGAGAGACTCCAGGTGTCCAGGACCTCCCCTCATTAACCTCTCCCCCAGCTGTCATCAATCATGGGACAGTGTGAGGGGAGGGTGGTTGGGGAAGGGGGTGATCTGTCGTCACAACATTTAAATGACAATTAACCAGGGCCTCGCTGGCAGCAGCTGGGTGGGTGTCACTCTCACCATGACTGTGGTCCGTTATTTATCAACATAACAACACATATGAGTCCCGATAAGTGCTCTTAGCTCAGTCAGTTCTTAGTTCATTAAATTATTTTCAGTTGCTCCTGATAAGTGCATCCTCCAGTTAAGTGCACTCTGTTGCAACAATCCCAAGCCATTGTATGTTGTTATTAATAAAACCCAACTGTTGTGTTGTGTTCCAGGTGACTACCCGGCACCGCGAGCTGTGCTGACCGGCCATGACCATGAGGTGGTGTGTGTCTCTGTGTGTGCCGAGCTGGGACTGGTCATCAGTGGAGCCAAAGGTCAGCAGAGACAGCCTGAGTCCTCTATTTCCTGTGTAGTGCACTTATTTTGACCAGGGTCCAAGGACTCTGGTCCAAAGTAGTGTACTGTACTAAAGTTAAATCTCCTTCATCTAATAATAATAATTCATCTTGTTTATAAAGTGCTTTTCTCGCACCCAAGGCACTATAGAAAATAAGTACTATAAAATCGAAGTCACAGTATTTAAATAACATAACTATACACAAAGCAATGGACAGACAGCAAACAGAGCTGTCAAAGATGTGAATCAGAGCTGGTAAATCAGCATCCTGGGCATTTCTGTCATCATCAGCTGGCTCTGAGAACAGACTCTCTCTCTTTTCAGCTAGGATCAGAATGGATATAGTCATAGCTATTAGTTATGGTACATGGTTCTGGTAAGGTGATGGTAATGGTTATGGTATGTGAGTTGGCTGATAGGACTGGAATGTCACATGCCACAGTACATAATTGACATATCTTAGTTAGGAGTGGAATGTTGAGTAACATTCTTAAAATAGTGTGTGTGCATGCAACCATGCGTCCGTGCGTGTTAGTGTGTAACTCTATCTTGCTCTCCCTCCAGAGGGTCCGTGTCTGGTCCACACTATAACAGGGGATCTGCTGCGGGCCCTGGAAGGCCCAGATAACTGCCTGTGTCCCCGCCTCATATCTGTGTCTAGCGAGGGCCACTGTATCATCTGCTACGAGAGAGGACGCTTCTGTAACTTCAGCATCAACGGAAAATTACTGGCTCAGATGGAGGTCAATGACTCAACACGGGTAAGCCCACAGACACAGTATGTGCCTAGTGAAAGTCAACACATGCCTTGCACAGTCTTCACATTTTACTGTCTTAAAATTCAATTTAAAAAAGGGATTCAATTTGGGGGGGGAGTTGGGGTTCTACCGATCTACAGAACCTACTCCACAATTTCAAAGTGAAAGAGAATTATAGAACATTCTCCAAATTAATAATAATATACAGTACCAGTCAAAAGTTTGGACACACCTACTCATTCAAGGGTTTTTCTTAATTTTTTACTATTTTCTGCATTGTAGAATAATAGTGAAGACATCAAAACTATGAAATAACACATATGGAATCATGTAGTAACCAAAAAAGTGTTAAACAAATCAAAATATATTTTTGATTCTTCAAAGTAGCCACCCTTTGCCTTGATGACAGCTTTGCACACTCTTGGCATTCTCTCAACCAGCTTCACCTGGAATGCTTTTCCAACAGTCTTGAAGGAGTTCCCACATATGCTGAGCACTTGTTGGCTGCTTTTCCTTCACTCTGCGGTCCAACTCATCCCAAACCATCTAAATTGGGTTGAGGTCGGATGATTGTGGAGGCCAGGTCATCTGATGCAGCACTCCATCACTCTCCTTTTTCAAATAGCCCTTACACAGCGTGGAGGTGTGTTGGGTCATTGTCCTGTTGAAAAACAAATGATAGTCCCACTAAGCGCAAACCAGATGGGATGGCGTATTGCTGCAGAATGCTGTGGTAGCCATGCTGGTTAAGTGTGACTTCAATTCTAAATAAATCACAGACAGTGTCACCAGCAAAGCACCCCCACACCATCACACCTCCTCCTCTATGCGTCACGGTGGGAACTACACATGTGGAGATCATCCGTTCACCCAAAACCCTTGAATGAGTAGGTGTGTCCAAACTTTTGACTTGTACTGTATAATGTTTTTTATTGCTCAAGCTCAGTCAATTTGTTTGGGAGTCATTGATGGACAGCAATATTCAAACCTAGTACACTACATAGGGCCTAGGGTCTAAATGTCTAAAGTAGTGTACTACATAGGGCCTAGGCTGTGATTTGAGGTAGATGTTATGATTATTCTTTTTATTTTGTATTATTATATAATTATTATGATGTGCTCCCTAGGCCATTATGCTGAGTAGTGATGGACAGAACCTGGTGACGGGAGGAGACAACGGGGTGGTGGAGGTGTGGCAGGTCTGTGACTTCAAACAGCTCTACATCTACCCAGGCTGTGATGCTGGTGTCCGCGCCATGGACCTCTCTCACGACCAGAGGTTAGTCCTGTTAGTCTTCCTAGTCAGGTTGCCTCTAATACAGGATCAATGGCTTGTGTGTGTGTGTGTGGTTGTGGTTGTAGAGCGGTATGTAGGCTGTAGAACACTGAAAGGGCCTTTGTGTTTCATGCTTGTCAGGGTACATTTGGGGAAACGGAACGTTCGCAGTTCAGTGAGCTTTCTTTTCTTTAAATAGAACCAGTTGCCATAGAGACAACGAAATTGCAGTGAAAGGTTCTGAAAGCACTTGCCTTGGAGCAATACACAAGCGTCACTTTCCTCACACACACATACATACATACACAAACACACACACTCACTCACACACACATACATACACAGACAAACACACCACACACACACACACACACTCACTCACACACTCACACACACACAGACAAACACACACACCTATTGTGTTGATGTTATTAAAGTAGATTCATGTTTGGGAAATAACTAAGAAATTACAATAAGTTCATGTAATTATTACTGGGTCATATAGAGGTACATTGTGTTGATGTAAATACTGTATTGTGTGTGTGTGCGACCCCCCCCCCCCCCCCCCCCCCCCCCCAGGACTCTCATCACTGGCATGGCATCCGGTAGCATTGTGGCGTTCAACATTGACTTCAACCGGTGGCACTACGAACACCAGAACAGATACTGAGGGTTACAGAGGCAGTACAACAAGGCTGCTGGTTTGGAGGACACCTGGACACTACTGTTAATCAACTATACAGGTTAACTGCTGTTAACTACCTATACAAGTTAACTAGGGTTAACTAACTACCGGTATAAGAGTTAACTAATGTTAACTAACCATACAGGTTAACTATCTAACCATAAGCTGTTAACCAGGTTAGGAATACAGTGTAGTAATACAGTGGGGTCCAAAATGATTGACATCCTTGATGAAGATTAACAATAATGACTGTATAAAATAAATAACTCAAATACTGAGCTAAATTATATGCACCAAAAATTTGAAAGATATATTATTTTATACTAATACAATTGCTTAGAGAAAGAGATTTGGTTAACAAGTTTTTTTTTTTTTATCTCACAAAGGTATGGGTCAAAATTATTGACATCGGGAAAGATTCTTCTAGATAAAGTAGTCAAAAGTGTAGTGTTTGGTGCCATATTCCTAGCACGCAATGACTACATCAAACTTGTTGGATGCATTTGCAGTTCATTTTGGTTGTGTTTCAGATTATTTTGTGCCCAATAGAAAAGAATGGTAAACAGTGTATTCTGTCATTTTGGAGTAACTTGTATTGTAAATAAGAATATAATATGTTTCTAAACACTTCTACATTAATGTGGATGCTACCACGATTACAGATAATCCTGAATGAATCCTGAATAATGATGACTGGGAAAGTTACAGAGGGTCAAAGATCATACCCCCAAGACATGCTAACCTCTCACCATTACCAATAACAGGGGAGGTAAGCATGTCTTGGGGGTATGATCTTTGACCTTCTGTGCTAAACTGAAGTGCCAAAAGGGCCACTAAAAGATACCAAAATTCTGGTAGTTTATTGGTAAACTTCCAAAAGTTTCCAGGAATACCCTCCCTTTGCAACCCTACCCCTACATTTCTTAGAATAAAAAAATATATGACTTGTTAAACAAAATCCCTTTCTCTGAGCAATTGTATTAGTATAAAATAATATAGATTTTTTTATCATACAATATAGCTCAGAATTTGAATTATTTATTTTATACAGTAATTATTGCTAATCTTTATCATGGGTGTCAATAATTTCAGACCCCACTGTATATCATAAGACCTAGAGACAGACAGGTTAAAATATAGGTTATAAGACCTGGAGAAAAAACACTTCAACTGATGAGTTTAGAAGAAGAGGTCAGTTATAGTGCTACAGTGACAGTTTCTTTTAACAATGATAAATAAAATATAGAATGTACGATTTTATTCAACTAGTCATATTTAAAACTGTTAAAAACTGTTAAAAAGACAAACCTACAGTTAATTACATTTATACAACATTTGTATGTCAAATACATATCAAACTTGGGACACTTTTCTAGGAAAAAAGTTTAAACTGTTATATTACATTTTACATTTTAGTCATTTAGCAGGCGCTCTTATCCAGAGCGACTTACAGTTAGTGAGTGCATACATTATTTTAAATTTTTTCTCATACTGGCCCCCCGTGGGAATCGAACCCACAACCCTGGCGTTGCAAGCGCCATGCTCTACCAACTGAGCTACACGGGACTACACTTGTATATAAGGATGATGCAAGAGTTTATTTCCAGAAAATATTTGAAAAGAACAAGACATCTCCATTTAGTCTCCATTTTGACAGTTGAACCATAATTCTATGTTCCAAACCGTGACATGACTCTCTCACATCATATCTTAGTATGCGTCCCAAATGGTATCCTATTCCCTTTATAGTGCACAACATTTGATCAGGATCCATAGGGCTCTGGTCAAAAGGAGTGCACTATAAAGGGATTAGTGTGCCATTTGGGATGCAGGGTTAGTTGGTTAGTAATAATATCTGATAGTTGGTCTCCCATCATGGCAAACAGTAGTCTATCGATGTACGTGTCAAAAATGACAAATTGTTCTATGTTAATTTGATAATGTGTTTAGATGTCTGTAAGGGCAATTTCAGAACTCTACTTACCGTGTGAAATGTGTCCATTGTAATTGTAATTTGTTTCTTAATCACGTTTCACATTATCAACAGGAAATAACAGTCCTTGTAATGATTTCCATTCCATTTCTTGTTCGGTAACTATTTTATTTATATTTCAACAAAGGCAAGGATTTAAAATTACTTTTATATACTTTTAAAATTACTACCACAGGCTAGTCAGGTTTAGTACTGAATTCTTTAGTCGTCATTGTTTGTATTTCCAGATAATGGATTGATAAGGAAGGTAGTGCAAGACGTCAGTTGTAGAAACACTGGATAATAACTAGCAATACCATGAGTTTGTTAAAGCCTGCAATCCAGACCTTTGTGCTAACATTCCACTCATTGTACTCTGTGTCATATGCCAAACATGACATGATGTTTGGCATGGCAAGTAGTGGAAAGGAGTGGAATGTTAGCACAAACAGACTGGTACCCAGGCTAAATGAGAGGTTGGGGCATGTAGCTAACCTAACCAAGAACAGGCTATAGTCATCCAAAAATTATTCTTAACTATTTTGAATAAACAGAAAATATTATAACTTTGTTTTATTGCAACAATGTAAAATATGCCACATGTGTGTGTTAACAGTAAGATGAAAAGGAAAAAAAGAAATCACAATATGCAAAGAGTTTGGGTTTGCATTGTAATGGTACAGACAGCAGCCTAGCTGAACCAGGGGCTCTGCATGCAGAGAGCTACAGTGGCTGTAGGATAGAACATCTATCTTACTGGTTTGGTTCATAATAACCATCAATATGAATTTGACATACTGGGTTTCTTTTGAATATTTGACATAAATATTTGTGTAAGGAGGATTTTGCTAAATAAATGCATTTTATTTGTGTTGAAATTAGCACTGCAGTTTTATTTTGTTTTTTGATCAATGTTTCTTACTGCTTTAAAAAAAGCATTTTGATTTTGTGTAAAATATTTTGTTGATTTGTATGTAATATATTTTGTTGATATAAGTATATCATATGATTTTATAAGTTATTTGTATTTACCTGTTGTTTTTTGCGTATGTTGCAATTTCTGAGGCATTTACCTTGTTTGTTTGGAGCTGTTTTACATTAACTTATGCCAATATATAAAATTGTTTTCCTTTTTGTTGTATTTATAATTTTAAAAAAATAAAGCAAGCGCTTATGCGACTGAATTTTCCATTCTTTATAGGAGTTTCAACATAACTAGTAGTATGTTTTTCTAATAGTCTGGCATATAGAATATGTATATGTATGTTACTCGTATTTTCAACAACAAAAAAATTGACTACAACCGCATAAACTTAAAAGGTATCTCAATAGTTGAAACTCAACATGCTGAAATGTATATTGTGTTTGTGTGTTGTGTTACTATCTTCTGGATCTGGTACAGATTATCTTATACTGCCATCTACTGGCTGGATGTTGTTATTGCTGCTACTGTGGTTGCTGTTTGTAAATCCCAGATTGTCCTACTGTACTCCCACTGGAAGGACACAGCACAATGACCAGGCTCTCAGATTGAGGAAGTGGTTTATTCACAGGTGTGGCTTGCTGATGACCACTGTTAAAGGGTTGCTATACAGGAACAATGACCATTTACTACCATCATCAGGAAATAAAAATGTGCTACTGGTGATGAATCCCAATCAAATTGGCTTCACATGTAGTCACTGAATCTTCCATATCCATTGGGTATCAATACATATTTTGCACAGCAACATACTTTCAATCTGTACTTTTTCTTTCTCTCACAACAGAAATTTGGACAATTACATTCAGCAGATAGATATATTTCCTCTGTTTCTATCATTAAAACCTGGTGTACTAGAGGAGAAAAAAGTGTTCCACACAGCAGTCATCTCATGCTTCTCTTGTGCTTTTTGCTTCTCCCTCTAGACCTGCCAACTCACTGTGCATCTCTCTCTAGACCTGCCAACACACTGTGCCTCTCTTTCTAGACCTGCCAACACACTGTGCCTCTCTCTCTAGACCTGCCAACTCACTGTGCCTCTCTCTCTAGACCTGCCAACACACTGTGCCTCTCTCTCTAGACCTGCCAACACACTGTGCCTCTCTCTCTAGACCTGCCAACTCACTGTGCCTCTCTCTCTAGACCTGCCAACACACTGTGCCTCTCTCTCTAGACCTGCCAACACACTGTGCCTCTCTCTCTAGACCTGCCAACACACTGTGCCTCTCTCTCTAGAACCTGCCAACTCACTGTGCCTCTCTCTCTAGACCTGCCAACACACTGTGCATCTCTCTCTATACGCCAACTCACTGTGCCTCTCTCTCTAGACCTGCCAACACACTGTGCCTCTCTCTCTAGAACTGCCAACTCACTGTGCCTCTCTCTCTAGACCTGCCAACACACTGTGCCTCTCTCTCTAGACCTGCCAACTCACTGTGCCTCTCTCTCTAGACCTGCCAACACACTGTGCCTCTCTCTCTAGAACTGCCAACTCACTGTGCCTCTCTCTCTAGACCTGCCAACTCACTGTACCTCTCTCTCTAAACCTGCCAACTCACCGTGCCTCTCTCGCTAGACCTGCCAACTCACTGTGCCTCTCTCGCTAGACCTGCCAACTCACCGTGCCTCTCTCGCTAGACCTGCCAACTCACTGTGCCTCTCTCGCTAGACCTGCCAACTCACTGTGCCTCTCTCTCTAGACCTGCCAACTCACTGTGCCTCTCTCTCTAGACCTGCCAACTCACTGTGCCTCTCTCTCTAGAACTGCCAACTCACTGTGCCTCTCTCTCTAGACCTGCCAACTTACTGTGCTTCTCTCTCTCTCTCTCTAGACCTGCCAACTTACTGTGCTTCTCCTCTCTCTCTCTAGACCTGCCAACTTACTGTGCTTCTCTCTCTCTCTAGACTTGCCAACTTACTGTTCTTCTCTCTCTCTCTAGACCTGCCAACTTACTGTGCTTCTCTCTCTCGCTCTAGACCTGCAAACTCAATGTGCTTCTCTCTCTCTTTAGACCTGCCAACCCACTGTGCTTACAGCAGGGGTTGGAACCAAAATTATTTTCCAATCGTTTTGTTCTAAACAGAACCATTCTTTTTTTTCGTTCAGTTCCATTGTTCTGACCAGCAACATAAAGTTCTGACCAGCAAAATAAAGTTCTGAACCGGTTCGAACACCCAAAATAGTAGCAGCTTATATCGTTCGTTTCTGTTCCTTTTTAAACCTCTGAAATCTTTTTTTCTTTCTTTTTTTTATTTTTTTTTACATTTAACTCGACATTAAATTACTTTACCAATCAGTGCATATATAGCAGCTTGCTATGGAGCGGGCAAGCTATAGTTGTTTACATGCATTGGACAGACAATTGTAGGGCGTGAGATGCGACTAAAATTTTGCGAGTGGGGAAAGGGTGGAGGAGGAGGCTTGCCTTGAAGCGCTTGGCATCTTGTTATGACATGCATTATTTTCCGGTTTTCGGTTCTGTTCCCTGAACCGGTTCCAACCCCTTGCAAGCTAAAAACTCAGGCGGCACTGAAAGCAGCCGCCATGACACCTCTGTTCTGACATACATTCACAATGTATGGATTGTTTATAGTTAACAATCGCTTGAAAAAGTATATGCGCTGTCTAATGTTGGTAAGAGATCCAGAACCTAATTGCACTTGAACCATTGTGCTCAGGCCAATAATCGTACTTTAAATAGGTCATTCTTTCACGATCAACATATTAACATATTAACTGAAACAAGGGCAATTTTGTACAATAATAAAAAGCCATGAAAAGAAAAATGTATGCACTCACTAACTGTAAGTCGCTCTGGATAAGAGCGTCTGCTAAATGACTAAAATGTAAATGTAAATGTAAAATGACCGTTAATACTCTACCCAATACACAACCCTTTTCATAGTCCATTAAATGAGGACTTTACATGAACTGGCACACTGGCATAACAGTCATGGACAAAAAGACAATCAATCAACCACTCCATATGGTATAGCAGAATGCCTGGATAGCTTCTAGCTCCCCTCTCTGGCCGTCTGTAAAGTGTGTAGTATATTATAGCTACAGCAGCACCAAGAACTGGAGAATAGCTTAACACTAACTAGTTCGATAATTAAGATTGGACTGGACATGACCGTAGCCACATGTCCTTCTAAACATACATACATTATAGCTTCACGTTACAGGCGTCTAATTGAATGTTCTGAATCTGAGATTACATCTTTTCACTTGGAAGTGTTTTTCTACAGAATTAACTGTACAAGTTGGAATGAATTGGATACAATATAACTTCACTGAAATAGATAACTGACTTGATGCATACATTTTCAAAATGAATAATAATACATGGTATTTCATTTATATAGCGGTTTTCAAGGACCCAAAGTCATTATTATTATCATTATTATTTTCAAAATGTATGTTTAATCACATAAATACGTAAGATGCCCTATTCAGGGCGTATGAGGTACCGTCAAGTTAAATGGAAGATTTTGATTTGTAGGTTTACATAGCTGTTGTGTTGCAGTTTCAGCTGTCCTGTTAGCAGGTTGGTTGGCCTGCAGTACTGATCTCCCAACACCAGGGGACCTCAGTGGACCAGTATTCAGTGTTTGCTGAAATAAGGCTTAACTACTGTATGTCTGTGTGGTGTCTTAAAAAGATAAGCAGATACAGATTCTCTGCCTTAGTAACCGCTCAGGGCCAGAGCAGAACCCATCCAGAATACACCTTTAACCTTGACCCTAACCTCTAACCTTTAACACTAACCCCACCCTAACTGATCTCTATGTATGGCTCTGACCCCAGTGTATCTTAGTGTTAACTGACACTGTAGCCCGGAATGACAAATAAATGTTTAAGTAATTGGCAGGCATCTTGACAGACTGTCATCGTGAATACAGGGACATGGGTTAGTGTTAGTACAGGGATACGTGCCCCCTGTCCTTCCTCTTTCTCTCTCCAACCTCCTCTCCCCTTTCTCTTCCTTTGGGGTCTAGAAGTCTAGAAGGGGGAGGTGGGGGAGCGGACGGTGTCAGCGGAGCTAGGAGAGGTGGGGGAGGGGCTGGGGGAGTAATCTTCTGACTCTGAGGTGAAGTCAGTGGGAGAGGGGGCAGGGTTGTTGGAGCTGTGGGTGGAGCTTTGGCTGGCGCTGGTGGGGAAGCCAGTTGGTTGGGGGCGGGGGCGGGGCTTCAACCTCACATCCTGCTGGTGTCTTAGTCTGAAATCCTGCCGCTCCTTATCAAGAGGGGTGGTCTGAGAGGGAGAGAGGAGAGAGGGAGAGGGGAGAGAGAAGGGGGGAGAGAGAGAGAGGCAGAGAGAGGGGGAGAGAGAGGACAGAGAAAGAGGACAAAGAGAGAGAGAGGCAGAGTGATGGGGGGAGAGAGGCAGAGAGAGAGAGAAGAGGGAGAAGAGGACATGCATTAGATGTCAGGGTTACATGTGAAGAACCTAATGTTTTGGGCTGTACACATTCTGAACAGTTCTAAACACCTACACAGCCTTGAGTAAGAATGACTAAGAGGGATCCTTACTGTGATAATAACAGTGTGGTGTGTGGTGTGGTGGTGTGTGTGTGTGTGTCCCTACTGTGATAACAGACACTCCGGCGGTGGTGCTGCAGGCTTTAGGACCAGTGTTGAAGTGTTTCCTAATCTTCCCAGCCACAGACAGCTGCTGGTCGTTCACTAATCGCCCATCATCCTGGAACACAGACAGAACCTCTGATAGAGCTGGTCAAGGAACACATACACACACACACAAACACACACACACACACTCACACACACACACACACACAGTAGACCTACCATATGTATGTTCTATGTAGTATGTTTTAGGTACTCACATTGACCCAGGGGTGATCCAGAACCTGCAGCGCTTTGTATCTCTGTTCCACCTTCACCTGCAGCATCCCAGTGATCAGCTCCTACAAGAAATCAATCAACATATATATATTATATATATATTTTTTACAAACATTTGTCACTAAGTGCAGGGATAGAACCATAGACCAACCTTAGCAGTGACAGACACGTTGTCCCAGGACGGTGAAGGGAAGTCTAGTTGTCCTGTTAGAATCTGGTCCAAAAGAATCTCCTGGTCCTCACTGCTCCTGGACAAACACATGACAGCAAGTCTCATGTCATTTTCATCATCAGCATTACGATGTTATGTTCTATCTGGGTATACTGAAATACTATGCCCAGCACACTAAAGCTGACATTTAAAGGTAATTTATGCTTCAGCTGACATGAGAAGCTTTTACTATGAATGCGATCTCTGCAAACGTCTGGGAAAATGCCTTTAAACAACGTATTGTCGGTTGTCTAGTGTGCTGAGCTAGAGCGTGCCTGGGATTGAATCCCGGCCTATGACGAATCAGACATAAATAAAATAAAATCAAATTTTATTTGTCACATACATATGTTAAGCAGATGTTATTGTGGGTGTAGCGAAATGCTTGTGTTTCTAGCTCCAACAATGCAGTATATCTAACAATTCACAACAATACACACAATACACACAACCTAAAAGTAAAATAATAGAATGAAGGAATATAGAAATATTAGAAATATTAGGATGAGCAATGTCAGAGTGGCATAGACTAAAATACAGTAGAATACAATACAGTATATACATATGAGATGAGTAAAGCAAAAATATGTAAACATTATTAGAGTGACTAATGTTCCATTAATAAAGAGGCCAGTGATTTCAAGTCTATGTATATTGGGCAGCAGCCTCTAAGGTGTTACGTAACCAGGTGGAAGCCGCCTAGTGATGGCTATTTAACAGTCTGATGGCCTTGAGATAGAAGCTGTTTTTCAGTCTCTCTGTCCCAGATTTGATGCACCTGTACTGATCTCGCCTTCTGGATGATAGCGGCTTGAACAGGCAGTGGCTCGGGTGGTTGTTGTCCTTGATTATCTTGTTGGCCTTCTTGTGACATAGGGTGCTGTAGGTGTCCTGGAGGGCAGGTAGTTTGCCCCCGGTGATGCGTTGGGCAGACCACACCACCCTCTGGAGAGCCCTGCGGTTGCGAGCGGTGCATTTGCCGTACCAGGCGGTTATACAGCCTGACAGGATACTCTCAATTGTGCATCTATAAAAGTTTGTGAGGGTTTTATGTGCCAAACCAAATTTCTTCAGCCTCCTGAGGTTGAAGAGGCGCTGCTGCGCCTTCTTCCACACATTGTCTGTGTGGGTGGACCATTTCAGATCGTCAGTGATGTGTACGCCAAGGAACTTGAAGCTTTCCACCTGCTCCACAGCGGTCCCGTCAATGTGGATAGAGGCGTGCTCCCTCCCGTGTTTCCTGAAGTTCACGATCAGCTCCTTTGTTTTGCAGACATTGAGGAAGAGGTTATTTTCCTGGCACCACACTCCCAGGGCCTTCACCTCCTCTCTGTAGGCTGTCTCGTCATTGTTGGTAATCAGGCCTACTACTGTTGTGTTGTCTGCAAACTTGATGATTGAATTGGAGGCGTGCGTGGCCACGCAGTCATGGGTGAACAGGGAGTACAGGAGGGGGCTGAGCCCATCAGGAAGTCCAGGACCCAGTTGCACAGGGCTGGGTTCACACCCAGGGTTCCGAGCTTAATGATGAGCTTGGCGGGTACTATGGTGTTGAATGCTGAGCTATAGTCAATGAACAGCATTCTTACAAAGGTAATCCTCTTGTCCAGATGGGATAGGGCAGTGTGGAGTGCGATGGCGATTTCATCATCTGTGGATCTATTGGGGCGGTAAGCAAATTGAAGTGGGTCTAGGGTGTCAGGTAGCGGTGATACTATCCTTAACTAGCCTCTCAAAGTACTTCATGATGACAGAAGTGAGTGCTACAGGACGATAGTCATTTAGTTCAGTTACCTTTGCTTTCTTGGGTACAGGAACAATGGTGGACATCTTGAAGCAAGTGGGGAAGGCAGACTGGGATAGGGAGAGATTGAATATGTCCGTAAACACTTCAGACAGCTGGTCTGCGCATGCTCTGAGGACGCGGCTAGGGATGCCGTCTGGGCCGGCAGCCTTGCGAGGGTTAACACGCTTAAATGTCTCACTCATGTCGGCCGTGGAGAAGGAGAGACGTAGCTGGTTTTCCCTTTGTAATCCGTGATTGTCTGTAGACGCTGCCACATACGTCTCGTGTCTGAGCCGTTGAATTGCAACTCCACTTTGTCTCTATACTGATGTTTTGCCTGTTTGATTGCCTTACGGAGGGAATAACTACACTGTTTGTATTCAGCCATATTCCCAGTCACCTTGCCATGGTTAAATGCGGTGGTTGGCGCTTTTAGTTTTGCGCGAATGCTGCCATCTATCCAAGGTTTCTGGTTAGGGCAGGTTTTAATAGTCACAGTGGGTACAACATCTCCTATACACTTCCTAATAAACTCAGTCACCGTATTCGTCTATGTTATTCTCGTAGGCTACCCGGAACATATCCAAGTCCGCGTGATCAAAACAATCTTGAAGCGTGGATTCCGATTGGTCAGACCAGCGTTAAATAGTCCTTAGCATGGGTACTTCCTGTTTGAGTTTCTGCCTATAGGAAGGGAGGAGCAAAATGGATTTGTGATCAGATTTGCTAAAGGGAGGGCAGGGGAGGGCCTTGTAGTCATCCCAGAAGTTGGAGTAGCAGTGGTCGAGTGTTTTTAGCACCGCGAATACTACAGTCAATGTGTTGATAGAACTTCAGTAGCGTTTTCCTCAAATTTGCTTTGTTAAAATCCCCAGCTACAATAAATGCGGCCTCAGGATATGTGGTTTCCAGTTTGCATAAAGTCCAGTGAAGTTCTTTGAGGGTCGTCGTGGTATCGGCTTGAGGGAGAATATACACGGCTGTGACTATAACCAAAGAGAATTCTCTTGGGAGGTAATACGGTCGGCATTTGATTGTGAGGTATTCTAGGTCGGGTGAACAGAAGGACTTGAGTTCCTGTATGTTATTACAATTACACCATGAGTGGTTAATCATGAAACAAACACCCCCTGCCTTTCTTCTTCCCGGAGAGTATTTTATTTCTGTCTGCGCGATATACTGAGAACCCAGCTGGCTGTATGGACAAAGACAGTATATCCCGAGAGAGCCATGTTTCCGTGAAACAGAGTATGTTACAATCCCTGATGTCTCTCTGGAAGGAAATTCTCGCCCTGAGCTCATCTACTTTATTATCCAGAGACTGAACATTAGCGAGTAATATACTCGGAAGTGGTGGATGGTGTGCGCGCCTCCTGAGTCAGACTAGAAGTCCACTCCGAACAACTCTTCTCCACCGGCGGTGTTTTGGACCAGCCTCTGGAATCAGTTAAATTGCCCTGGGGTGTATGAACAAAGGATCCAATTCGGGAAAGTCGTATTACCGGTCGTAATGCTGGTGAGTTACTGCCGCTCTGATATCCAAAAGTTATTTCCGGCTGTATGTAATAACCCAAAAAATTTCCTGGGCTAATAATGTAAGAAATAACACACAAAAAAACAAAATACTGCAAAGCTGCTTAGGAGCTAGAAGCAGAGCTGCCATGTCTGTCGGCGCCATTTTCATGTTTTATTTTATTTGTATTTATTAGATTTTTTTACTGACCCACTGAAGGGTTATTATGGTATTGTCTATCTAGGTATCATAGAGAAGCACAGACCCACTGAATGGTTATAATGGTATTGTCTATCTAGGTATCATAGAGAAGCACAGACCCACTGAAGGGTTATAATGGTATTGTCTATCTAGGTATCATAGAGAAGCACAGACCCATTGAAGGGAGGAAAGCCACACAGCAGGATGTATGTGATCACTCCAGCTGCCCAGATATCAACCTTCAGCCCGTACCTGTCAGGGGACAACACACACACCTGTCAGAGGACAATACACACACCTGTCAGAGGACAACACACACCTGTCACACATAGACGTACCCTGTCTCAGCGATGATCTCAGGTGCTACATAGGTGGGGGTGCCACAGACCAGGTAGAGGAGTCCATCCACCAGGCTAGCCAAGCCAAAGTCTCCCAACTTCAGAGACTTACTACCATCCTGATGCTCATACACCTGGGACACAGTGAAGCATAGGCTGGGATTTAATGGAGGGCGCGTTACAGACTTTTAATGGTAATTTATGGTTGAGTCGACATGTGCAGCGTTTACCATGAATGCGATCTCCCTGAACATCAGGCATTTAAAAGGTGCATTGTATGGTGTGCCGCACTATAACACACCTTGCATTGAATCCCGGCTATATATATACATAAATAAACAAACACACAAAAACATAATGTACACACACACTCACCAGCAGGTTCTCAGGTTTGATGTCTCTGTGTACGATGTTGAGGCTGTGCAGGTACTTGATGGCACTGGCCAGGTTATAAAGCATCCCACTAGCATCTCTCTCTGTGTATTTATTAGAGGAGGTGATGGCATCAAACAGGTCACCCCCCTGTGGACCGATACACACATTACACCTCACAACACGCAGAGTTGTAATGAACAGTACTGACCTGCATGACTCTATCCATAACAGGGTGTAATCTATGAAACATCTGACCAGGTACAGCTCATCTTGACCAGCTTGCCGGAGTCTGGTCTAAGATCCGGACCACTCAGCCGACTGTCTGTGCTCTTTGCTCTCTGTATCCCTCTCTAAACCTGTCCCTAAAATCGACTGTTCTTCTAACTGTCCTGTCAACTCACCTTGACAAGCTCCATGACCAGGTAGAGCTCGCTGTAGGTGTCCATTTCCTCGATCAGCAGGACGATGTTGGGGTGTTTGACACGACGGAGGATGGACACCTCATTCTGGATCATGTGTTCCTGGGAACGGTCAGGTTACAGATGTTAATAGTAGTTCAGCTTAATAGTACTGTAGTACAGTTAATAATAATATAATAATACTACTACTATCAAACTACTGGAGACCATGCAGTCATTTTCAATTGGGGGAGGAGACACGAGGAAACATTCAGCGACTTAACGGTCAGCTACTATGAGCTGAGCAAGTCCCATGTTTATGCAAATTGAAAGTGATGCGACCCCTCGATAACCAATCGGAAGAGGTAGGGTCTCACTAGCTAGCTTTGACATCCTGCTTGTTAGGCTATTAGCGAATGTGACGTGTTTCAAAGATACTTACTACTTTGTAGTTTTTGGTATAACTGGGCCGATACAGGAGTAGTTCTCACCTTTCCCCTACATTTGCCTTTGTTGATGATCTTCAGGGCGTATTCTCTGCCGGTACATCTCTCCACACACTCTCTGACCACAGCAAAGGTGCCATCACCTAAAGTCCTCCCCACCTTGTACCTCTCAGCGATGGAAGGAGGGACGGAGGGACATTCATCACTCAGCAGGTTCAGCTCCGCTATCAAACCAGGCAAACGGGAGAGTTCGATCATGTCTGCTACTGCACTATCCACTCCACAGGCCCCAAACTAATAAGGGCTGGATTCAATCTGTATTGCAGAAGATCAGCACTATAGAGTAATTTCCAATTGAGCCGACAAATGCAGCGCTTACCATAAATACAGACTCCGTGAACGTGGGAACATTGCCTTTAAATGTCAGTCGTGCTATAGTGCTGATCATCTGCATTACGTATTGAATCTAGGCCTAAGTCACTGTCCCATAGACACCCTATCCCCTATACAGTGCACAACTTTTACTTACTTTGTTTACTGACTTTTTTCTGCACTGGTCAAAAGCAGTGCACTATAAAGGGAATAGGGTGCAATTTGGGACTCAGCTAATGCCTTCTAGAGGATGCTCAAGGAAAAGCTGCCCTGAAACATGTATACAGTATGTCCTCTCTCCTACCTTCACTACCTGCTCCGTCTCCCTCATCCATGGAGCTACACACCTTGGTGGAGGCTAGAGAAAGGGACGAGCCACTGTGTTGGGACCCCTGAGGGAGGGAGGGATCATAAATGCTTTTTGAACACATGGATGTTGACAGTTTGGGCGACTATTGACTATCTATAGGGGACTATCAATATGGGACTATCAATGGGGGACTATATATAGGGGACTATATGTGGGGTACTATCTATAGGGGACCATCTACAGGGGACTATCTATGGGGATTATATATAGGGGACTATCTATAGGTGACTCTCTATAGGGGACTATATATAGGGGACTATCTATAGACCATCTATTGGATACTATGGGCTCTGTTCAATCAGATCCGTTTTAGCCGACATCCGCATAGCGGTTGTGTTGGCGGTGTCGGAGGTGGAAACGCGTTAGAGCTGTCAAATCCACAAGCGGCTCCTGGAATTATACCTAAAGTGGACATTGCCATTGGCTGCAGGAGTCGCATTAGGAGAAATCCCATGCAGCCTTGTTTACAAGTTCAAACACTGGAATGTGAGATGTAATCTACACCTCGATTAGGCTGATAGAAATCCTCGTTATTTTCTTTAATGATTTTCAATTTCAGCGTCATCATTTCTGTAGGCTATAGCCTACACTTTCTCCTTCTGAACTTCTAACGGGAGTGGGACGGGTGTGGCTTTGTGACAACTGAGCAGCTGCTCACCGATTTGACAGCTCCAACGCAGTTACACCGCCGATACCGCCAAAACATTAGCTATGTGGGTGCCGGCTATCACCGGTTACCGCTTGATCTGATTGAATCTAGGCCTATGTTAATAATGCGTTGTGATTATATTAGTAAAGCATTGTGTGGTCCTACCCTGCGTCGTCGGAGGCTGGCAGGACTGGTAGGAGAAGGGCTGGGGGACTTCCCTGAGTGAGGAGTCGACAGCTGACTGCCTGCCGTCCCATTGGCTACAGTACAGACACAAGAGGTTAGAAGGTTAGAGAAAGACACTGCTCATTCAGTTGGTTGCTGATAAGAAGGGCAAACACACATTGCTGAAAAAGTACAGATGTTGATTCTGCAGATGACTTATGCACGCATGCACGCATGCACAAAAACACACACACACACTCACAGGGCCATACCTGAGCCTGAGCTTCGGCGTGAGCCTCCTCCTCTGGGTGAGTAGCGTCCCTGCAGAGAGGAGATCCGACCGTATGACGTCGACTTCACCACCCTACACTCTGGAGGGAGAGAACACACCGTCAGATACTACACACACACACATACCTACAGTACCCACACACACACACACACTAATTACTCCCGTGACATTCTAATTTAAATGTTATGGTACTGTTATTATAACTATCTCACCACTCTCATCTAAGAGGAAGTCATCTTGGTAGCGAAACGTCTCTGGACCACAGGCCATAAAGATGTCATCGTCACCAAAGAAGTCCTGAAGGCATGTCACCTGGAACACACAGACAGATAGACACTGTCAGTCAACTGGAACAAGGATACCACAAACATCTAATCTTCACATTACTTATTCATTCTTGATATGACACAGACAGGTAGCCTGGGTACCAGCCTGTTTGTGCTATCATTCCAATCATTGCCACTCCTTGTCATATGCCACACTTCTGATGGTGTTTGGCCTATGACAAGGAGTGGCAAGGATTGGAATGATAGCACAAACAGGCCTGATACAGAGGCTAACAGACTGGGTCTATCTCTCTCTGAACTGTATCCCTCCCCTCCCCGTATGCCTCCCACTCCTCTCTTCCCCCTTTCCTGTATCCCCCTCCTCTCCCCCTTCCCTGTATCCCTTCCCCTCCTCTCTCCCCCCTCCCTGCATCCCTCCCCATCCTCTCTTCTCCCCCTTCCCTGTATCCCTCCCCCTACTCTCTCCCCCCTCCCTGCTTCTCCCACCTCCTCAACCCCTCCCCCGTATCCCTCCACTCTCCCTGCTCGCCCTGCCCCCTGACTGTTAGAACTGTTAAGGCTCCATAGACTGAGGAGGAATTGAAAAACTGTATGGTTGAAAGAGATGGGACAAAAGGAGTGGCTGATAAGTCTGGCTGCACATCTGACTAGCTGACTTACTGCAAATTGAGAAATTATGTGACTAAACTCAACAAAAAGAAGAAGAAACTGTATTATGAAGCCAAGATCAATTATATAAAGAATGATGGAAAAACACGTTGGAGTACTTTAAATGAAATTATGGACAGAAAGACCAATTCAACCCCATTTTTTATCTAATCAGATGGCTTATTCATCACAAAAGCATTTGATGTTGCCAATTATTTTAATGATGACCTCATTGGCAAAGTGGACAGACTTAGGCAGGAAATGCCAACAATGAACAGTGAGCCATCATACTCAGGTATAAAAAAAATGACAAACCTCCTGGCATTGACAACTGGAAAGCTACTGAGGATGGTAGCTGACTCTATAGCCACTCCTATCTGTCATATCTTTAATCTGAGCCTAGAGGAAAGTCTTTGTCCTCAGGCCTGGAGGGAAGCCAAAGTCATTCCTCTACCCAAGAGTGGTAAAGCGGTCTTTACTGGTTCTAACAGCAGACCTATCCGCTTGCTGCCAGCTCTTAGCAAACTATTGGAAAAAATTGTGTTTGACCAAATACAATGCTATTTCTCTGTAAACAAATTAAAAACAGACTTTCAGCATGCTTATAGGGAAGGGCACTCAACATGTACTGCACTGACACAAATGACTGTGGCAGCTGTACTGTTAGATTTCAGTGCAGCCTTTGACATTATTGACTATAACCTGTTGTTGAGAAAACGTATGTGTTATGGCTTTTCAACCTCTGCCATATCGTGGATTCAGAGCTATCTATCTAATAGAACTCAGAGGGTTTTCTTTAATGGAAGCTTCTCTAACGTCAAACATGTCAAGTGTGGTGTACTGCAGGGCAGCTGTCTAGGCCCTTTACTCTTTTCTATTTTTACCAATGACCTGCCACTGGCATTAAACAAAGCATGTTTGTCCATGTATGCTGATGATTTAACCATATATGCATCAGCAACCACAGCTAATGAAGTCACTGAAACTCTTAACAAAGAGTTGCAGTCTGTTTTGGAATGGGTGGCCAGTAATAAACTGGTCCTGAACATCTCTAAAACTAAGGGCATTGTATTTGGTACAAATCATTCCCTAAGTTCTAGACCTCAGCTGAATCTGGTAATGAATGGTGTGGCTGTTGAACAAGTTGAGGAGACTAAATTACTTGGTGTTAACTAAGATTGTAAACTGTCATGGTCAAAACATTTAGATTAAATTGTTGTAAAGATGGGAAGAGGTCTGTCCATAATAAAGAGATGCTCTGCTTTTTTGACACCACACTCCAAAAAGCAAGTCCTGCAGGCTCTAGTTTTGTATTATCTTGATTATTATCCAGTTGTGTGGTCGAGTGCTGCAAGGAAAGACCTAGTTAAGCTGCAGCTGGCCCAGAACAGAGCGGCATGTCTTGCTCTTCATTGTAATCAGAGGGCTAATATAAATACTATGCATGCCCGTCTCTCTTGGCTAATTTGTATTTTTATTTTTTTATTTCACCTTTAGTTAACCAGGTAAGCCAGTTGAGAACAGGTTCTCATTTACAACCGCGACATGGCCAAGATAAAGCAAAGCAGTGCAATAAAAACAAAAACAACACAGAGTTACATATGGAATAAACAAAAATAAAACGTACAGTCAATAACACAATAGAAAATCTATATACAGTTTGTGCAAATGTAGTAAGTTATGGAGGTAAGGCAATAAATAGGCCATAGTGCAAAATAATTACAATTTAGTATTAACACTGGAGTGATAGTGTCACGATCGTCAAACACAGTGGACCAAGGCGCAGCGTGATATGCGAACACACTTTTATTTATATTCACCCACACGAACAAAACGATACGTGAAGTCCTTGGTTTACAACACAAAACCAACACGGAACAAGATCCCACAAACACTGTGGCAAAACAGGCTGCCTAAGTATGGTTCCCAATCAGAGACAACAAGCAACAGCTGACACTCGTTGCCTCTGATTGAGAACCACCCCGGCCAACACAGAAACACATGAGCTAGATAAAGAACCTAGAACACAAATACATAGAAACTACACACCCTGGCTCAACATAACAGAGTCCCAGAGCCAGGGCGTGACATTACCCCCCCCCCCCCAAAGGCGCGGACTGCGACCGCGCCAAATAAAAACCGAACAGGGGAGGGCCGGATGGGCATTCCTCCTCGGAGGCGGTTCCGGCTCCGGGCTTGACCACCACCTTCCAACAATCCCCCCGTAGCGCCCCTGGTCCGGTCTGGCCCCGCTGGCTGGAGCTGGACTGGACATCGGTGGAGCGGATTGCTTAGGCTCCGATGTGGAGCAGCTGACCGGTACCGGGGAGCAGGAACAGGCCGGGCCGGGCTGGCGACGCGCACCATTGGCTTGGTGCGGGGAGCAGGAACAGGCCGGGCCGGGCTGGCGACACGCACCATTGGCTTGGTGCGGGGAGCAGGAACAGGCCGGGCCGGCGACGCGCACCCCTGGCTTGATGCGGGGAGCAGGAACGGGCCGGACCGGGCTGGCGACGCACACCATAGGCTTGGTGCGGGGAGCAGGAACAGGCCGGGCCGGGCTGGGCTGGCGACGCGCACCATTGGCTTGGTGCGGGGAGCAGGAACAGGCCGGACCGGGCTGGCGATGCGCATCACAGGCTTGGTGCGAGGGACAGGAACAGGCCGGACCGCACTGGGAACACACACCACTGGCCTTACCCGGGGATCAGGAACGGGCCGGACCGGACTGGCAACACACCTCAGTACCTCTCGCCGTGCCTCTACATTTTCCTTCCCTCTACTCGCCAATGGCTCCCGTAACCCGGTGGCCTTCTCTCCTCGTCCACTAACTCGCCCCTTATCTGCCTCCAGCAGCCCCGTCGTCCACGGTGTGAGCCCCCCCCTAAAAATTTATTGGGCTTGTCTCTCCCCCGTGGCTATGGCCTCCATGGCTCTCGCCAGACTCTCCATCCTCTGCTCCTAAGTCCATCTCCTCCTCACGCTGCTTGACCCAGTCGAGGTGGACATCCGTTAAAGTTACCTCCGGCGTGTACTCCTGGACACGCTGCTTGGTCCAGTATTGGTGGGATATTCTGTCACGATCGTTGGAGGAAGTGGACCAAGGCGCAGCGTGATATGCAAACATACTTTTATTTATATTCACCCACACGAACAAAACAACAAAACGATACGTGAAGTCCTTGGTTTACAACACAAAACCAACACGGAACAAGATCCCACAAACACTGTGGCAAAACAGGCTGCCTAAGTATGGTTCCCAATCAGAGACAACAAGCAACAGCTGACACTCGTTGCCTCTGATTGAGAACCACCCCGGCCAACACAGAAACACATGAGCTAGATAAAGAACCTAGAACACAAATACATAGAAACTACACACCCTGGCTCAACATAACAGAGTCCCAGAGCCAGGGCGTGACAGATAGATGTGCAGAAGATGATGTGCAAATAGAGATACTGGGGTGCAAATGAGCAAAATAAATAACAATGTAAATAACAATATGGGGATGAGGTAGTTGGGTGGGCTAATTACAGATGGGCTGTGTACAGGTGCAGTGATCGGTAAGCTGCTCTGACAACTGATGCTTAAAGTTAGTGAGGGAGATAAGTGTCTCCAGCTTCAGAGATTTTTGCAGTTCGTTCCAGTCATTTGCAGCAGAGAACTGTAAGGAATGGCGGCCAAAGGAGGTGTTGGCTTTGGGGATGACCAGTGAGATATACCTGCTGGAACGCATACTACGGGTGGGTGTTGCTATGGTGACCAATGATCTAAGATAAGGCGGGGATTTGCCTAGAAGTGATTTATAGATTACCTGGAGCCAGTGGGTTTGGCGACGAATATGTAGTGAGGGCCAGCCAACGAGAGCGTACAGGTCACAATGGTGGGTGGTATATGGGGCTTTGGTGACAAAAAAATACCCATGTAAAAACGGATGGCACTGTGATAGACTACATCCAATTTGCTGAGTAGAGGGCTGGAAGCTATTTTGTAAATGCCATTGCCGAAGTCAAGGATCGGTAGGATAGTCAGTTTTACGAGGGCATGTTTGACAGCATGAGTGAAGGAGGCTTTGTTGCGAAATAGGAAGCCGATTCTAGATTTAACTTTGGATTGGAGATACTTAATATGAGTCTGGAAGGAGAGTTTACGGTCTAACCAGACACCTAGGTATTTGTAGTTGTCCACATATTCTAAGTCAGACCCGTCGAGAGTAGTGATTCTAGTCGGGCGGGTGGGTGCAAGCAGCGTTCGATTGAAGAGCATGCATTTAGTTTTACTAGAGTTTAAGAGCAGTTGTAGGCCACGGAAGGAGTGTTGTATGGCATTGAAGCTCGTTTGGAGGTTTGTTAACACAGTGTCCAATGAAGGGCCAG